TTCAATCACTCAAAACTGGGTGACTACTTCCTCATATCTGTAAATAAAACCAAGATGGTAAGTTCTCCCTAGGTCTTCCATCCCAACCTGATTAGCTTCCAACTGAAACAAAGTCAGCCTGGTACTGACAGTCAAATTAGGTATTCCATTTGTTCTTCCAAAGCGCCCACACTATTTGCCAGGCAGAAATAAAAATTGCTCTTTTCCTGAACAGGGAATGTTTACAAAAGAAATGCTGCTGTCCAGATGTTCAGTATTTTAAGATTCTTTTGCTCTTATTTTTGAAGACTTTAATTGGCAGCCCTTGACTGGGATGCTTATCAGTAGACTGCACTCTCTAAAGCAGAACATGTCATTATCCTATTTAGATTTTCTATAAGATAGCATGGTCATCTTTGCATTACAGCCCTTTGCTGACCTCTGCTGGTCTAGTCGTTTCTGCTCTTTCCATGGGAGCTAGTTTGTCGGTAAATTTAAATTTACTGACAAAGAAATAAAGGGAGACTAGTATAGCTTTTGTTGGGTAAATTTAACACAAAATAGTTTGTTGTGGAAGCGACTGCCTGTGAAAGCTCCTGGATTGGGGCCAAAAGGTGAAAGCAGAAGTGGTGTACTCTGTCCCATATTTGGGTAAACCAGGTTGCTCAAGTCATGAGTTCTAGTGTCGCCTTAGGCAGGTAGCTAGCTGGAAAATCTTGGGCTAGTGACTCTCTCAGTCCTAGGAAGCAGGCAATGGTAAACACTTCTGAAATCTTGTCAAAACTGCAAAGACTAGTCCAAGCAGTTGCCATGAGTCCACACTGAATACACCAAAATTTAAAATAAAATAAAATAAAAAAGGTGGGGGGGAAGGCACAAAGGAAAGTATTTTAAGGAATACTTAAAAGGAAAGCATGATGTTTGTAAGATACATGGCATGTTGCTGGAATATATTGAAATTGGCCAGTGACACAATACATGGCATGAGAAAAAATGTAATTTGACTGTATTTAAAACAAACACACAGAGATGTCTATGGAGATTCTCAGTCATCTGGATCAAAAGGCAACTGGACTTTGTTTTATTTTATTTCTGAAGAACCTTCTTGGATGAGAAGAGAAATGCCTTTAAGGAAAAACCAAGTCTAGTTGACTTTTGAAAAAAGCATCTTCAAACACACAAAGACACAAAACACCCCTAAATTGTTTTCCCCAGATTAACCTACTATACAATGAAAGGACTACTTATGGAGCAAACTTTTGTTTGCTGCTAAACTGTCTTTTAAATTCAGAGTCATCTCCTTTTGGCATCAATCCACCACTTCCTACATAAAAATATATTTTATAGAGGCCTAAAGAGCACAGTCAGCAACTTTGGGCATTCTACGTCCTTTTGGAAACCCTTCTCAAGTAATTTTTAGTAGAAAAGAGAAGGAAATTATTATCTATGTGGAAATAATCATATAAACCACACTTCATTTAAAATGTAATTTAAAATTGATATCAAACATTGTTTTGTCCTGGCCATGTCTCCTTTTAGGAGTGAAGCCCCTGGTGCAGTATCCAAAGTGAAGCCCCTGGTGCAGTATCCTCTCGAAAAGGATTGTGCAGCCATGATGTACAGTCTTTTTCAACAGAGACTAAGAGCACATGGGATTCCATGTGACTGAATGTCTAAAAAGGGATTTGGAGTATCAACTTGAAGACAGCTCCTGCTTCTCCAGTTTCCAAGAGGACATTTGATATCAACAAGCAGCAAGTACTAAATTAAACAACACCTTTGGTCATCTGGTTTTTTTTAAAGAAAGTATTTCATTTCTTGAAGGCCAAATACTTAGGTTATAATCAGGACTGCAAGGAGGGATGACAGAGGAAAAAAATAAGGTAAATAGGCGCCTGGAAAGTCTGTATCTTTATATAGAAAGATCTGCAGTGCCACAGTGGTTAAAATGCAGTACTGCAGGCTATTTCTGCTGCCTGCTGGCTGCCTGCGATTTGGCAGTTCACACCTCATCAGACTCAAGGTTGATTTCCACCCTTTTGAGGTCAGTAAAATGAGAACCCAGATCATTGGTGGCAATATGCTGACTCTGTAAACCAATCAGAGAACGCTGTGAAGCACTGTGAAGCAGTATATAGGCCTAAGTGCTATTGCTAGTGCTATTTATAGGGAAAGCAAATACCCAAACTGTTCCACTGAGGGAAGGGAAAACAGTCCTGTGAATTCTATTGACTTTTAATGGTGCTGCAGATAATATATTTTCTGGATGTAAAAGAGAATAAAATCTTCAAGTATTTTATAAATGTACATACATCTTTATCTCTAGGGTGCTTATTCAGAATTAAGTCCCTTTTATTTCAGGGTAGCAAACTTCTTGGATTATTTTAAGATGCAATGTTAATCGTACTGTAGGGATCAGGAGACTGAAGAGGACTCAGCCCACCCCTACCCATCCCCAGTGTGCCTTGACCACATCACCAAAATGAAGCAGAAACCTGTCAATTTTTAATAGAAAATCTCATCATTGCCTCTACAGGCTAGGAAATGAATGAATAAAACACAGTTTCTGGATTGGGAAAAAAGTGTTGACATTCTTGTCAGACTACCTAAATTAAAAACAGCACACAGATATTACTGGGTATGAGTCAGCTTCTAGATGGTATGGATGATGGTTAAATCCGGCATCTGAAAATCTGCAGATTGTTCTGTCTTAAATGTGCATTTGTCAAACTCCAATGTTCTGTGTGTTATGCCTCTGGTTTTAGGACCCAGTTTCCCACCCCAAAAGATAGCAAATTATTTTGTTGTTGGGAAATGAACGATCATTTAGCTGCTTGATCTACTGTTTACATGAGAAAACACAAGTTCTTTAGTAATCTGCTGCATAAATATACTTCGCATATTAAGAATTCTTTTTCTAATACCAAAAGTCTACAAAGTTCAATCGACAAAGGGATTTTAATTATTATACTACCCCTCCTCAACAGCATGGAAAATCTGTGTGGCACAATGGCCAAAGCCCTTTTCAGTTTCCATAGTCATCCTGCACTAGAGACCTCCTCATCAAGAGTTCTGCAATATGGAGCAGCAAAATTAAAGATGGTCCAACATAAGACAAATGCTGGCAGAACATTCCAGATAGGTAGCAGAACAATGGGAGTACTTTTCATTATCAGCCTGGCTGGGATAATAAAAGCAAAAAGTTTGGCCTTGACAATGGCAGCACAGGAAATAAATAGATCTATATAGCCAAACCCTCACTGATAACTTTTAATGCTGGCACAAAGAGCTTCCTCCCACTAATTTTCTTGGTTTATCCTGAAAGTCACCTATCCAGTCAGTACAGTTCCTGATACAATTAGCAGCTTTGGGCTGTAGCTCATCATCCCAATGAGGACTCCCATGAATGTGAAATTGGTAAAAACAACTATATCCATTTGGAAATCTATTAGCAAAATGTGCTTTTTGTGGCACATCTGGTCATAACCACCCACATTATTTTTGGGAGTACTATTTTGGGAATATCTGCCTGTAACAATCTGGACATCCCTGGACAGCATGCATTTCTGTCACTTTCAGTGTAAATAATCACGTTACAGCAAGGAATTGCCTACAGTGGTCCCTGTCCCCTATCTGGGAATGCCAGGTTCGGTGAAATTGTTTCTCCATGTATAGCTGGTTCAGGAGTGCTATCAAAATAGAAGTCCAGGATCTCATTCAGCAGAATGAGTAGGAAGTCCAAAAATCTGACCCACCTGACTGATCACAACTAGAAGACCATTTAACATCATGAAGTTCAGAATCTACAGCTTCCTATGTGCAGTATAGCACATATCTGATTGGTACCTTACAAATATAGTAGCTGTGACCTACATATACATAGAGGCAACTCTGGCATTTATTGGGGCAATGTGAAGCTTTGCTGAGATGCTAAGTTTGCCAACTCTTTTATAACACGTTTATACATTTAATCGAAATAAGTATACTTCTTTCTTTACTTGCATTTGTCCCTCGTCACCAACAACCATAGAAACATTTTTTTAAAGTATCAGTTTTGGCTTTTCTTATAACCTAATGGTCAAAATATATTAAAAGTAGAAAATTGGGGGAAAAACTTTTTAAACTAAAATGCTTCACTTAATTTCAAAAAGAAGTTATGATGTGCCATGATTATAATATACAAGTTTCCCAATCTAGGGCCATTGAAAATTACAGAATTACAGAAATTAAGTGACATATGCTAATCCTAACTGTACAGCTTAATCTGAGTGCTTATGTCCTATTTCAGTGCTATACAGCTTGGGTTTTATGGGCCTGGTATATGAGCAACCATGTTCCATTGGGTATGTACAAGTGGCATCTACTCAGCAAATGTTCACATTCTTTTTTTAAGGTTAAATTAATAGAGACAAACTTCAGTTAGGAGTTTCTTCCTTGCTTTGCTTTTCTGCAAGGAGCTATACTCACTGAGAAACCTCTTGACTGCTTCTCCTTGTACTCTTTCTCCACATTTGATTAGAAAGTGTATTATACTGTAAGCCAAGCCCAAATTTGACAGAAAGCACATATTTGTAGTGAAGTCATTTCTTTAATATGGCATATACAAAGCAAGTCTCCCAATGATATGGCATAATTCAATATTGCCTCCCCCCAAAACCGTTCTTTAACCATAAACCTGGTGAATGTTATTTGCAGTTCTTTCTGAGAATGATAGTGAAACGTAATCTAAGGGAATATTATGGTGATTGTGGGTTTCATCAGATTCAATTTCCACACCCCTGACACCCCCCCCCCCCCCCCGAAAAGTCTGTGCCTCCTGGACATTCTAGCTTTGAAAACTGAAAGAAGGCAGCCTTGGAAGAAATTGATACTGCTCAGAATTACGCACTGTGCAGCTGGTATCTGGACTGAAGAGAGAATGTGCTTGGCTTGCGAGCAGAATTTGTCATGCAGAAATATTGGTATGTAACACAGTGTTACATGTGTGTGTGAAAAAAGACCACAAACAGTACTCTTTTTTCCCCCCACAGCAAACTGGATCTGTAGTTCCCTTATTGCTAGAGGAGAAGAAAAATACAGAAAAGCCAGCTTAAAGATTGAAAGAAGCTGCCCAATTTGACCATTTTGTGCAACTGCCTGTGGGATTGGGAAAAACTGACAAATCCTACTACTCACTTTCAGCACGACTTTTAAGAGTCATCATCATTGGAGAAAGATATGCACAGCAAAACAATGAAGAACACCCAAGACTGCCTAGATCTCCCAGGAGAAATCCCAATTCATCTGGCAAATACATTTGATAGCTCTGCAACATCTTCCTACTGCTTGCTTTGCTTTAGTGTTCCCTATTGCAGCAATGATTAACCTAACCCGAAGCAGTCTGGAAAGAAGGCAGGAAGAAGGAAAGAGGAAACTTTTCCGATCTTGTCTCCTTTGGATTCCCCTCTCTCCCTCAAGAAGTGCAGCGCAGAACACACAGGTCCTCTTGTAACCACGGCACACCAAGCCGCAGAATGGCTCATAAAGCAAACATTGCATCTTCATCTTTGTCTTTCTTTCGCTGAGGACCAGAGTTAGTGGATGTTGTGGAAGGAGCCCCTGTGGGGGCACTGGGAAGGGTAGGAAGTCGATCTGCCACCTTTGCACGCTCCTCAAGGAATCTGTCAAACTCTGGCAAGAAAGAATTAGGGATAATTTTAAAAGGGGAAGAATTAACAAGGCTGGAAGGGAATTACAGCTGAAATATCTATGAGGGGTTCTTGATGCTCTCTGAACTTGGTTGTTTTCTTGCAGGCCTTCATTACCCAAACAGATAATGAAATGTTGGAAAGAAAATAACCAAGCCCAGAGAGTACCAAGGTCCCCTCATTTCAAGTCTGAGTTACAAATATTCTCTTCTATTGGTGAAACACCTATCTGGAATTAAACAGACCATATTGCTGGTGATAATAATCGGTGACAAACAATTGCTTTCATCAGGACAGTTCTGAATACATAGGTACAAGAGGAAACAAATCCTGGTACTTATTAGGGGGTTACAAACAGTACAGGTATGCTAAGAAATCATGTGTGTGTGTTGTTAATATATGATGGTTTGATTTTTTCATGAGATTAATAGATGAAGAACATTTCAGGCCTAGTAGCTGGAGAATATCAGTCATAAAGGACAGGATATATAATTGGGTATAACTTGCCTTCACTGGTGACACCCTTTGGATCCACTGTCTTGTTTCCCTGAGGAGAACAAAAAGGTAATATGGAAATAAAATAAGATTAAGTGGAAGCTTGCAAGGGTCACTTGGAACAGAATTTTCTACTATACTAAGATACTAAGATTTGGTATATGTTCGCCCATCACATCTACAGAGTAGATAAGTGTTTCAAGGAGCAGTTGAATTTGGGACACTGCTATCAAATTTCTGTTTTTAATGCTGATATGTCAGTGACCAACAGACCTGGCCATAAGAAAGGAAGAGTAGACATTTCATTTTCATTTTCAGAAAAAACTCAAGGAGACTCCCTCTCAATGCAAGAGAGGAAGTCAGGTTTAATAGTTAATACTTATTATATCTATAAGCTAGAGACAGAATCTAGGATTCCCCCCACCCTCCAGGATATACCACCTAGTTATGTTCCTCCTCACAAGACAGTTGGTAGGATGTGCCAGTAATTAACTCCTTATACACAAGCATTTCATCTTTATTACATACCTCTTCAGTGGAGATCCACTGCTCAATTTCCTCCATGAAAGTAGCTTGGGATACAGGAATCTGATAAGGAAAGTGAGAAAAAGACCAAATAGACCTTACATATCCACGTTTGTAAAAAAATATCCTCAACCCTCAGGGTTAAAAAGCCATGATTTAAATCAGTGCAATTCTTGGTTCAGCATTTCTTAGCATCAATGAAGAATGGCTTGAAATCTTTCTCACATAGCTTGGGCCCTACTTTGCAGGTACAGATTTTATGGATAACAGCAATGTATATGGAGAGACATCATTAATTAGAAGGCTTTGTTTTATTTTTATCTAGCAAAGCATAAAAATATTCTGTGTTTTAGTTTATGTTAGATCATATCATTGTATATAACAAGGCTAAGGAACAACATTTTGCAAAACAAAATCAGGTAATTTATATCTAGCAAATGTGCTTCTGTGGGCTTCTGCTTTGTTCCCATCTTCTAATATAAAGGCCACTCTGGCGCAAAAATTATACACAAGATCTGACAAATTCTTCTTCTTTTTGTGCCATATCCGTCATCGGATGTTGGCAATTATGTTGGTGAACCTATTTTTATCAACAGCTGCACGAAAAAGTCCTGCTGAGTTTTGTCCAATCTGACAAATAAGATCTCTCAAAGCTTCACTTCTTTCCTCTACACTTTCATCTCTTTTGGCTAATTATTATCCCTTACACTCATCTTCTTCCTACACTTGGTTTTTGGGGGGACAAGTGGAGGAGAGAGTAACATATAAGTTGCTTGGAGTTCCTGAGTGAAAGGTGGGATGTAAATCCAAGAAAATTTTTAAATAAGATTCTCGTATTTTGCCCATTTCCTGTGTTTAGCAAAATACGTTTGAAGTATTCTTAAAATTTAAAGGAAATAGGGTTTCTTATATAAACAATGTATTAGGTCAGCCATTTTTACTTATTGCTATTAAACCTATAGCTTGATACAAAGGGTTTTGTTTCCCTTATAAACCAAAAATGAAAACTTGCCTGGGGAATTATATTGTAATTTCAAATGTAATGATGAAACTCCACTTCTTACTTCCTCACTTCTTCATTTTTAAGTTCATGTTCCTATCTTAAGCCAAGTAAGCTTATCTTGATAAGCCATGATGTGCAAAAGAAGGAATATACGTTTATTTTGGCTTTCAGTATTCAAAAGCAAGCAGGTGTGGTCTCAATAGACAGATTTATAAGTTAAGAAAGAAATCTTCAAAGTTAAAGCACAAATACCATTAAGGCAGAAAAAGTACTGAGCTTTTGTTTACAAAACCACTGGAAAACAAAGAGAATAGAAGCCAACTAGCCCGAGGGAAGAAATCATGCAACCAGTTCCAAAGCCACTACCAGACTGCGATCTATTTTTATCTCATTCTCTTCTGTCTGCCAAGATAAAGCTCTTTTCTTCTTCTTCTGTTCAAATCAAACTCAGTTAAAAATTTGGGGAAGAGAGGCATTAAGAAAAATGTGGTCAGAATTTTATCCCCAGAAGAACTTTCTAGAACAGATGGAAATAAGAGCTGCTAAAGTAATCCAGAACAGTGTTTGGGTTCAGCTTGGACAAAGCAGTACAATTCCAATCCTAGGTTGATATTATTGTGGCATGCATAATCTTGGAATTTCAAGATCAAAATGTTAGGCAGCCAGATATTGATCGTAGTGTTTGTGCATATATTTCTCCCCAAAGTGAAAAAAGTCAAAGAAGAGGCAAGACAGAACTTGCCACTAGATAACTGTATGTGCACTATGTGAAAGTACAAATCCTTGCTTGATATAGCAATAGCATTTAGACTTATATACTGCTTTATAGTGCTTTATAGCCCTCTCTACAACCTATATGGAACCTTATAGGTTATGTTCACTTCATAATCCTTTATGACACTTTCTCGTCACTTTCTCCTGAAATAAGGAGATCATTTTTAGTCTTTCACGCAGATAGTCAGAAAGAAATAATGGATCTTTCTTACATAATTTTTGGACTGTGATACAATGCAACTGCATTTAGAGTTATAGACATTATGTTACAAACATGGGAATAAATTAAAAAGCTGTAGAAGATTCTATTTTGGCTATTGTAAAAACTTTTGTAAAAATGTTTCCTCTAACAGGTAGAATCTGGAATGTAGCATTTTGAAGAAGAGGTTTCTTGGCTTCAAACCTAATCATATCACTTTGTCTGTTGTTGTCCCCACACAGTGTTCAGTCCGTACCACAATATGCTCAATATTCTTCAAGCGCTTTTTAAAATCTTCCCCAGCAGTGATACATTCTCACCATTCCTTGGCGCATCATCCAGTTTGTAATCGGGGCCTCGTCAGTAGAACCACCTGGCTCCAGCTAGTTAAGAGAAAATTTGTTTTCAAAGAAGATTGAAAATATGGGTGATGAGGAGAGCAGGGAGCAATGTTCTCAGTAGGGGAACTATCCCCTCTCTATCTAAAAGATCATGGGGGACTTCTCTCCTGCCTGTCATTCTTTTTAATGAAATTGAAGGAACTTACGTCCCAAGTCCGTAAGAGAAGGTTGAATTATCTATAGAAAAATAAGAAACTGAATGGAGAAACAGTGCCTTTTGCTCTTAAGGACTGAATAAAAGGAAGACAGTTATTTAGGGGGCTAACTCAGACTACGAAAGAAGCTCGATTCAGATGGACTATGTTTGAAAATTGTGTTATTATAAAGTGGATTCAACACAGGAAGAAGATATATTTAGAGAACTGCTCATCTTTTTGACTGTATTTACCCCAAGATGAATGCACAGCACTCATTCTCTTTTGCAGATTTTTTTTTTTTAGTATTGTATTTTTGGAGCTTGATGGCTGTTAATTGAAGCATTTTGATGATACATATTGCATTTTTAATTAGCATCTTTTCTTACGGTTGAGTATAATAATTCCAAGATTACTGTATTATGGAACCGAAGTATTATGATGATTAAAATGTTATATATTTCAGAACTTTGTGGAAATATCTTTTAAATATTTGGGTTGTTTTTCCAATTAGATTTAATTTTAATGAATTATTGGACATAATGCAGTGCATTATGATGGATCTTTGGTTTGCATTATTGCTGAACGTATATAAGTAGTCTATTGTGATTTATTATGAACTGTTGTGGGAACTATATCATGAAAAATTTGCTTGAAAATGAATTGAAATCTGAAGTCATTTTGCCTCCTCTTAGAATTACTTTACAGTATTTAACCCTCACTATGGGTAGATGTAGTCTGACTTTGGAGTGGTAGATATATTCATATACAAATTATACATGAAAACATAGAAAGCTGTATTATCAAGAGAGATAATTACTACAATCTCCCCAAATTCAGCATCCTTCAATTATTTTGAATTACACTTCACATTGTCTCAGCAAAATAACTGATTGTGCTGGCTGGAGGTCAGTGGTACATATGGGGAGGCCTTGAATAGGCAGGATATGCCTCTTCAGTTATATGGTTATGTAGTTATATATGCAACTGTCTAACAGTTTGATAGACAGCTACTCACTGCTCCTGTATTCTGTTGTCTGGCATCCAAGGCTCCAGCTAGACCTTTTGTTGCTAAAGGATCTTCATACTTCACCCTGAAAGAGGAAATCAAGTTAGCCAGTAGATATGGCTTTGGGCATTTTATCTAAAGCACAGATTATGTTCCATATTTCTGGGATGAGGTTGGGAGTACTTTACACACACACACACATACACCACATAGAAATACCAATAGTGAGGCCCAATAGAAATGTATTATATAAATTACATTAGATGTTTGATTTGTCATTTTCTTTTAAACTTTATTATTTGATGCATAACAGTTGAACGTGTTTAAGTAAACTACATTTTCTCTGAAGAAAAAAAATAATACTGTGATTGACTTATAAGACTCTGCCTGCCTGCCTGCCTACCTTGCCCATAATTTGGTAAACACTGGCACGTACATGTACTTAGGCTGACTGTAAAACCAAATTTTAAAAAAAAGGTGAAAGGATTTAGAGAAAATTTTAATGTCAAAATTAATAAACTCCCCTTCAATTGTCTTTTTATATAGCCTCATACAATATTAAAGAATTTTTGAGGAATAGATGGTGACATCAGACATTAGATTTAATTTATTATATTGATTACTTGTCTGAGAATGAAATAAAACAGCAAATTCAACTGCATTGGAGATTGGAAAAGGTAGCTTCAGATAGTTGCATACAAAGTTAGGATTCACATTTAGAAATAAAATAATAATTAGGAAAACAATTATATCATAATTGGTAATCAGTAGATCTCTCAGATGAATTATTTACAATGTATGTTCACAATTTTGCTGAACATTCTCAGAATGTGTGAACCTGCGGGCTCTTCTGTATATTTATGAGTGATTGAAAGACTATATTCAACCTCTGCCCAAATTCCATGACAAAACTGCTAACTCCTAGAGTTTGTAAATAATTTCTTAAATGTAATTATCTGTAGTTGTTGAAATACATTTGGATAGCATTAATAAGATTGATAAGACACTGGCAGCACAGAAGCACTGGTATCAATATTCCTAAATTCCTGAGCATACTTTGTAATATATCCTTTAACCACCCATCAATCCCAGGTTTGTAGAATCTTTCACACTTTAAAAAATGGCTTACTTTGTATGTTGAGAAGGCCATGTGAAAACTGTAGAAAAGTCCTTACTCCACATTCCATCTCTGTACGATTTCCACTGCTGTAGTACTGCTGTTATGAAATCTGTAGTACTGCTGTTATGAAATCTCCTTCTTAGCTACTTAATCTCTTTTAAGGAGGCATGTGAAAAATGTTTTGCCACTGTAGTTATAATTGGATGATGCTACTGGTGTGAATTATTTATTATTTTTAGCGGACTGAGAATATTTTGTTTTTGTAGCTGCTATAGATTAGAATGGTTGTAAATCATTTTAAGTACTGATGTGCAAGAAGAAAGTGAGCACAGTTAAGATGCAACCAAGATTTTAAGTCCAAGTCTTTGATATCTAGATCTTTCTCTATTGCATATTGATTTGCATGCATATATACCAGGTGAAACAGTTGCAAGTGTTTCATTCTAAAATTAATATTCAATTATAGTTTCACTGAATTTTACTGTGTTTTCCCAATGTGATAAAGCACAGAAAGTCAGATTGCATATCTGCAGAATCTGTTTTGTTTTTGACTAGAATTAAGGAATTCTGAGTTCGTATATCTGTCAAATATCAGAATTAAATGGAGCGCCTAGTCATTCTGCATAAAAATACATTCCTAGTCAACTTCAACTTTATTTTGGTATAATAGTTCATATGGAGAACCAATCTGTTTGCTGCTAAACTGAGATTCAGAATAAGTAATTTTAGAAAAAGTAATTTTATTGTAAGAGTACTAAAATGTGTTGGTTGAGAATAGATGAAAGGCTGTAAGTCACCCAATGATTCTGAGTCTTCTCAGCCCGATATCTTAAAAACTAAACTTTAAAAACCCAGTTTGTTTGAGAATCTAACCTGATCCTCTAATCAAATCTATATCATATTTTGAGAAAAATGTAGCTTTGCAGCCTGCATACACTAAACAAACAAAGCACTCTTCTATGCTATCGTTTGATATTTTACAGAAGGTATTCCGATGTTGGTAGTTATGGGGAAGGTTATAGAATTATAATAGGTACTAATCTGCTGTGCCCTGCCCCTAGCAGTCTGTCTGCTTGCTTATTGAGATTTTTGCAAACATTATTTAAGTATACCTCCACAGGAAGAGGGAATAAGGTACTTTCATGTAAATATGGTTTTATAGGCACTCATTATAGAACTGCACATGCATATAGTTTTGTAACTCTATTTCACTTTAATGCATGAACTTAACACACACATTACATGCTCTGTTTTGCAGGTAAAATTAGGCATAACCTTTTTCAGATTAATTAATGCATACAGCTATTGCGATGCTAAACATCATCTCATAGAAACTATTTCATAGTGTTACACGCTTTTGAAAAAATAACTCATGTTTGTTATTTACTCTAAAGTATACCCAGATCTGCCTTCTGTCTACACTCTACCTAAATACATTCTTTCCTACACAGGGCCAATGCAGCCTTGGATGATGTTGCACCAGAAATGAGCTCCCCCAGTCCATATTTCTATCCCACCCATAATCACTGAGACATGTTCCTTCTTGCAGCCAGGGGGTTGGGCCACCTCTGCTCGAACTTTTCAAAGAAATGCTTGTCAGTGAAGGGCCCACTGTGCACAATAGCATCAAGGATGAAGCAGAGTACCACCACCATACCAGCAATAAGGCAGAAAGGCAGGAATGGCTTGAAGTGTTGCCAGAACTTCTGCATGATGTTCATGATGTTTTGGAAAGATACCCAAGCCCAACTCCAATAAAGTTATCCTGATTTGACCATCAAAGTACAGGAAAAAAAAGCACAAACATATACGGAAATAGAGGCAAGCTGCAAAATAGATAATCCCAATCTGGTTTCTGGCCAAAAAATTAAAATAGGAGGCAACCAGTCCAACGTGAGATAGCAAAATAAACTGAAAGTGTCCCTTCATCGGAAAGATTGTATTTATCTTAATCTTAAGAGGATCAAGTAGTGCTGGAGAAAATATGCAATTATCCAGAGTAGGAAAAGATCAGCCAGAGTGGATGTCAAGAGATTAGGTTTCAGCTGCTTCTAGTGCTGGTTCACTCTCTCTGCTTTCTTTCCATATAGTTCCCAATTCTATTTCATATTCCATTTAACAGCAAGCAGGCCAAGAATAGTCTTCCTGTAGCCTGGTATATGCGCGGGGTGTCCATATTCCTCTGGTATGGTATGGCTTCCCTTCATCTTTGAACCAGGCAGAGTCTCTGAAAAGGCGAGCTTTGCAGCAGGCATTATAAGCTCTCCAGTGGCTCCAAGAGCTGAATCAGTGGTGCCTAGAAGCCTACTGGCACATAGCCTATTTTGCTAAGTGTTGGAGGGGGTATAAGTGCACATGGCCGTAAAAAAACATCTGTTTCTATTAGCACCAATGCCACTCAAAGGCTTGCTTTAATCTTATGCCATCAAGTCTGAAAAATATGCCAGGATACAGCTCTGTTTTTCTGGGAACTACCGAGTTGGGCAAGACCCTCAGAATTAGCCATGTATCATTGCAAGATTAAATCCAGATAAATAGTACTTAAAATTCGTGTCATATTTTTTTGCTATACAAAATGCCTTGTGCAATTTTCACAGCTATTCTGCAGAGTGGATCAGCTCTGCCATTATTCCCATTAAGCAAATCTTGGAAGAAAGGGAAGGTGCGATGTCTAAGAAAATTATGGTTATCTTAAAGCTATTGATGAATGGATGGTTTTGCACCACCAGGAACGTGTCAGTAGAGTATGTTAAAACAGCCTGTCCTGTTGTAGGAAATGTCTGTTGCTTTATAGAGTGAAGAGCTGTGTCAATTTTTAAGAAGTTTATCTCTCAAATAACTAGATAATTAAGGATACGTGAGAAAATTAAAATCAAAGAAGTTTCTGATAAACAAGCAGAACAGTTTCCTCAGAGAAATGCTAACTCTGCCATTCACTGTGGCAACAGCTCATGCTTTTAGTTTTTGTAACAGCTTGCAGAAAGTCTGCACTACCACCCCTAGATAAACAAATAAGGTGCAGATAGTCCTCAATTGCTGACCATCTATTAAGCAACTGTTTGAAATTACAATCATGCTGAACGAAGGGACTTAAACATTGTACTCAAAGTTCTGACTGCCGTAACAACCCTGTGCTCACATGATCACAATTCAGGAGCATTTACAATTTGCCATCCTTACAACCAATCTCGGGGATGCTACAACTGCCCCCACCAGCCTATCTCCTCCACTCAGTCCTGTCCTACTTGGGCCTACTTTTCACTTGGCACGGCCTCTACAGACCTTGGCCTGTTCCCTGTCCCTCTGATTCCCATTTACTTGGGCCAGTCCTGATGGGCCTTGTTCCACTTACAGTATCTCTTCCAAAGACTGCCTTTCCAAAAGAGAATCAGCCTATGTGCTCTGTGGCGTTCCTATACAGAAACTAACTGGTGCCATGCTGGAAGCATGTACTATTTTAGAAGCAGTTCGCAATCCTCACAATTCAAGAATAGCAGTCATTTCCAAAATGGCACCTGCTTCCAAGATGGCACTAAGCAGCTTCTATATAGGAAGGCTGCTGCGTGGCACATCAGCTGACTCTCTTTCGGAAAGGAGATCTCAAAAGATCACTTTTCCAACAAGAGTGTCCAGCCAATGTGCCACACAGGCTTTTCCAGAGGCTGCCTTCCACCATTCTGGAAATGGCTGCCATTCTTGCAATCTCTCAGAAGGACACAATTTTCCAAACTGCATGATATGGAAAATCACGACTCTCTGAGAGATTGTACAAATAGTGCCCACTCCAGAACATACAAGGCTGTTTCTACAAGAAGACTGCAGAATGTCGCATTGACTGGGCACTCTTGGAGGTCAGAAGAAATCAGTGTAGCAAGGCATGATGGGCAGGAGACGCAAGGATGTGGAGCCCAGTGGGGCAGGAAGCTGTGCAAAGAGTGCCTTGAGGGTGGGAGAGGCTCTGAAAACCCATTACAGCCAGAGTGAGCAGAGGAGGTGCATAACAGTAACTAAAGCATTAGTCTTAATTGATAGTTACATTGCTAGACTGCTCTAATTCATAAATCTGTTCTTCATTTGGTCCATGCTATTAACAGTAAACCTTCTATTTTATTGCAGCTGCAATTCACATAAACCACTAGAGGTTGAGGAAATGCCAAGGGGGACAGGGAGTGGAAAAGAGGAATGTGCTAATTACAGCTCAGGTTTGTCCTAGTTCTTTGGAGTAGAACAACAAACAGTCTTTTGAAATCTCAACAATCTAATTCCCAAATACACACTAGCATTATTGTTGGGGCATAAGACACAAAATATGTTTTGTTAGTATCACTGTATTAAAAATTTAAGGAGTCAATACCAGAAATTCTGTAGTCTATTGTCAAAAAGGAAATCCCATTCTGAATGGTAACTAGGATTTTCAACATCACATACAACATGGCAAGACTGATGCTACATGAGTCAAGTGACATAACTTTCAAAACTTATTCTTCATAATATTGGCAGCCTTGATTTCAGTCTCTTGGTTTGCCCATTTTTCTTTTCTCCTTGCAGGACTTAAGAATTTTGGATTTACAACTTCCTTCTCTACATGAAAAATATGGAAGGGCAGATAGCTGGAAACTTTTGAAATTATGTCTACATTTAAAAAATAAAATCAATTTTGCATAAAATTAAATCAAAACATACATTAATTTACCAAAATGGGCATTCAAATCTCTTTGTTTGAAAAGTTTGCTTTACGGTATTCATTATTTTTGCCCATATTAATATAATGGGTATATTCACTTACTCTTTGCGTTGTTCAGCTAAGGAACTGCCACGGGTCAGTGCAAACATATCAAACTCTTCTTCCAGTTTGCTGGAATTGTTGAGGGATTGCAAACCTGAACTGACACTATTAGAACCAAGATCTACAAGGCAAAGGACAGCAAGGTATCATCTAGAATGTTAAAAATATATGAGGATGTAATGAATCTATCTATCTGAAAAAGAAACATCAAGCTTTCTTACATGGAGTGGGCAAATTTTCCAGATGAAGAAAGTATTAGAAAGATCTATTGTGACTTCTAAACAGCATGCATTTGGGAAAATATGTCTATTCAGGTTTTCAATAATTTCTCAATAAATCTGCTTATTATCTGCTTGTGTTGGCCTACTTCAGATAATGTTGTTTATTTAAAAAGTAGGGAAATTGTATATAAACTAGAGAGAGCTCGCCAAATGGCCAGAATTATGAATGTGAATGGGAAAAAGAATTTTATAGCTTTACAAATCCAACAAAGATACTTACCAATTCCTGCAAGTTGAGATGAAAGTGTACTGGCAGTTACAGGAACTTTTTGTGCTGGTGTGATACTAGGCCCCATGTCAAGCATACTGTTTTCATTCTCTGTGTCATTCTGTTGCTTGGAAAAAAAGAAAAGAAAAATGCATTTTGCTAATATTGGATTACTGTGAAAGACTATAGCATTTCTTCCAAAACATGCCTCCCAATTCACTGATCATGTGTTCTGATTTTTCAGGGAAATCCAACCAAGGATATGGAAGCCAAAAAAAAAAAGGTGATATGAATTAAAAGTTGCTACACAAGGTCCCTTCCAACTCTTATTGTTACATGAAACAACCAGTTAAATAAGGGTGTTAGGATTACTATTTTAACAAGGAAAAAAATAAAGAAAATGCCATCCAATGTTCAAAGGAACTCTCACACAAGCATTTCCTGGAGCATCTTAAGACTTCTGTACATGACAGACTTCATGCTGCCAATATAGGTTCTACCATGCAATCAGTAAAAGTCTGCAGGCTCCCTGGAGTTGAAGTTTATGCCAAGGATGGTTATGAAAGTATATGATAAAAATTACAAGTCTAATGTACACAAATGAAGAAAAATGTTTCTAGGATGAGATGAAAGTATTATTCACCGTCTCAAACTATTCTTTATATTGACTGGTTGTTCTTGCCCATTACTATCTGGAAAAGCCAGGATCTGAATTTAGGATCTTTGGCACAGAGTACACAAACTTTTCCCCCTGAATCATAGCTATTGTCCTAGTTTAGGATTAGTCAAACAACAAGGTATACCAATGAGCAATCCTTCTAGAATTGTTCTCTGCATCTAGTCAATGCAAAACTTAAATTTTATGTATCATAACTGACATGCATCCTGAATCATAAACTAATACACATCCTGTATTGGAAAAATTTTGGCACAACCAAACCAGCAAAATGCCACTAGAACTTTTAACATCACTTTTAGATGGAAAAAGCCCAAGTACAAATATGTAAAGCCAGGAAGGACTATACCAAATAAATTCAAGTATGCTGCTGCAGCCACTATATATTTTATTTTATTCTCTAGCAATATCAATAATATGACCTTACGAGCATGCTTTGGAAGGACTGACAGAGTGGTTCAGTGGCCAAAGAATTGCACTAGGACTCAGGATTCCAGGATCAAGTCCAATCTCAACCAAGGAAATGTATAGATAATTTTAGGCCACATGCTCTTCAAACCGAAACTACCTCTTTGGGTGGCTCTGAGGCTACAGATTGGTAAAAGGAGTGCCATGTATGCTCCACTGAGGTTTTGGAAAAAGGGTGGGCTATCACTCAAACAAACTAAGTAAATGCTGAAATACCTTTGCAGGCTGGCCAGATCGGAGCCGTTCAAACCTATGAGAAGCAATGAAATAGTTTCAATGGAAAACAGCAAGGCTGCTTTACTTATAAAAAGAGAAAGAACATGAGAAAGAGAAAGATGTTCTCATAAATACCGTTCATGGCGCAGGAAAATATTGTTGAGGTTGTCATTGACAATGAGCAGCTCCTCAGTTAACTGTTCATTAAGGATGCGGGGAATCAGCTCCAATATACGCTGCTGCATTGCTTTACACGTCCGATTCAATTCCTACCCACAGAAAGAAGATACAAGTTATGAGAACAGAATCAAAGAAGCTAGTTTAAGAAGCAGCTGCTAATAACTAATCAGTTAAAAATCTATGTTTACTCATCCAGGTCATGAATCCAAAAAATAGTTTTTTGGAGTTGGGTTAAGGCTCATCTCAGTGATTGCTAAATGAAGTCCTTATATACACAGCAACAATAATAAATGTTACATTTCAGCACTTCCTACCTGGAGCAGTTCAAGGTCAGAAGGTTCAGTTTGTCCTGGCACTAATTCTGTTAACATCTCAGACATTACTTTTACATTTCCATTCACCACTTCCAATTCACTGCGTAATTTTCCAATCTGAAAACAACAATAGAGGCATTTTTAAAGCATTCCATTACTGGTGAATATGTTGCCTTAATTTGTCAAACCAATACTTTATCCGGCAAGTATAGTCTGGTTGCTCTTGCCTATAAAGTTTTCTCTGTTTTGTTAGGTGTGATAATTTAAGCACAAATAAGCCTAGTATTTTCCTACTCCCTTCCTAGATATTTTCAGGAATCTCCTTGAATTAATTTTTAGATTTTGAGTTAACAACCCATACTCCTCTTTTAGCTTGAATTCTTCAACTCTATGATTAGACAGTTGCAAATAGCTACAGGAGCTGAGTGTGTCCTACCTGCTATAATAAATAACTAGAATTTTGTCCCCAGTGTTATGTCATTACAGTCAGAATAACCTAAAGTCTAACAGCTAAAAGTGGAAGCTAAGAAGCATCACTTCCAACTTTGCAGATAATTATGAATAAATGACAAAAGGTGTGACTTATGTACTAATGGATGTGGCCTTATTTGTGAATAATACATGGAAGCCTGGCTATTCTCCTTCTCCCTTGGCTTTTGCTCAGAAGCACTGTTTTTATACTGAACATTGGGAATACAAAAAAAGACAAACTATCCTCTCTATATGACAAATGGTAATAGGACTGCGGACAATTTACCATCAGCCCAGGAAAGAGAGGAATCCTTATGTCCTGTCTAAATCATCTGCATGATATTGTTACATGCGCTGCTTGCTCTTTCAGATAAACATGTCCTTTGACACTGGTCCCTAAGTGTGTGGATTCCATTTTTCAGAAACTCGCATAAGAAAAAAAAAAAGGATGTCCTTCAACAAGAAACTCTCTTATAGGGATAGAAGGGAGAGGTTCGTGTGGCTCTTACCTGGTCTGCTGTAGGTGTGATAGAGGCATCAGCTGCAATTTCTGGAACTTGTGGTAAAGATACAGGGTGCAGGATTGAATCTATTGGTTGAGGAGAATCTGCTGATGAAATAACTCCTGGCTGGGAATCTGGTGGAGTGTATACAGTCTAAAGAGAAACCCATAAAGGAGAGAAAGAACAGTTCAGTTATTTCTACAAAAAAAATCAGCCCAGTATATTATATGCTGTTTTTTTACCCATAATTATGGTGTTTTCTTTTTATCTAAGTAACGAGCCAGTCCTGCAGCCCGAAGTGTTTCCCATTCTTCTTACTATTTCTCTGGGGCTTCCAAAGCGGTCACTTCAGCCTGGTTCTTTCCGTTTCTCTGCATGAGTAGCAAGCAGCAGATAGGATGAAATATGTTGCAAAGCAGATTTTCAACTAGATTGTGTGCTTTCGGAGAAATGTCCAAAACTGCATAGGCAGTTTGTGTTCAGAATGCTCAACTATGTCTTACAGTGTTTATGAAGCGTGTTTCTTAAATTCTATATAGTTCTTAGACTTTGATTATGATAGCAATACATTCCCCTTTGAATACAAAGGATCTGCTTACTTTCACTACACTTGATGTATTTTGGTGTTAGGAATTGATAGTCACCTAACAGTTGGGTTGGAAATATATAAACCAGGATAGACATTTAATATTGTCTCTTTAAGGGAATGCTAAAATTGTAATTGGGTGTGGTTCCTCAAACAGCCATAAGATGGAGCCAGAAACCTGGGTTGTTTAGTCCTGTTGTTGCTAGTTGCTAGTTGGTCTATGTTCTGATGTTCGCTGTTTTGGTTCCTGAATTTTTCCCTATTTACTGTTGCTAATTGTCGTTCTTCTTGGATTGCTATAAGTCTGTTACTGAACTGTTTATGATACTGGACTTTGATATTTGGATTATCCCTGGACTGAAAAACTGACTGCTTTAACCGTGTATGACTTGGACTGCTTGTTGGAATTTGCTTAACCGTTTACTAGAAGTAAAAACCTACATTTTACTATCCAGTATATCTGTGTGCTGGTTGTGTGTTATTCCTCACCACTCTCACTACGTCTCAGTGTTTGCACTCATTCTCCTAACGGGGAATTACCTCAACTTGGCATCCAGCTCTTTCACTTTTTTTCATAACATGCATCAATTTGAAAAGAGAAAAAATGGAGCAAATCAACACCACTATTTCTAAATACCTCCAAGATATATTTCATATATTATTCATATAATATTTTGTAATGCAAATAAAGAATTATTGTGCATTAAACATTTACCCTCTGTGGTGTATGGATGGGTGATAGCATATCTAGATCTGTCATGGGAAACTCCAGGCCTTTCCTCCTCAGGTCCTCATAAACAGTCACAACCCCAGTCAGGTCCGGTGTACTACGAAAGGCATCAGCCCAGGACTAGAAAGACAGGGAAATCATTACAATTTTTGATTTTTAAACTCCTAATTTTTTAAAAAAGCATGAACATTTATGATTTTGTTAGAAAAGCAGAGTGTGCATCAAAAGCAGAGAACGGTTATCAGATTTGAACATTTTTAAAGGTGTTTGACTGCATGGGCTGGTCAGAGTCTAACTGCTGGAATGATCTGATGAATACTAGATATATGGTCACACAAGCAGCATAAACGGCTGTTAGAAAACCTGATTTTAATTTTTCAAAAATGTTTATCAAATTTGTCCACCACCCACAATGTTAAGTTTCTAGCCCCTGTGATGTAGGCTAGTAACTTGTAAGCTACTCTAGCTGAGATCTAAAAGAAACAGTAGGTTTAATGAGTTAAAAAGATAGCTTCAGACTGTTGCCTGTGTTTTGCCTCTTTCCATGAACAGTAACATAATTTATACAAAATAATGTATGATATTATTTATATTTATTATTTTATACAAGATATGATATGATACTATGTAAATTAAATAATCTACAAGGTACATAAACGTTTCAGATTTCAGTTATCCTCTGGAATAACTATACAAGTATGGATAGAAAGTTTACTTCTATTTAATAAGCATATATTACATACTGCCATGAAAAAAATCTGGCTTGTGGTTTAGGCAAAATAACTGTGGGTCTGTTCTTATACATGGAGGTCTCTCTGAAAGACAGAAAGATTGACAGGGATGCACTTACTTGGATGAGGGTCAGCACCTTATCATGTACAATGGCTGGAGGATTGTTTTTGGGAAGGATGGTTCGTACTAATACACCTTCTACAAAATCCTGGCTAGCAACCAATATGTGAAAGCGATGGCCACAGTTTTTGACACATGTCTCAAGGACCTGCAAAGTCAAACAAGATGTATTGGAAATTACTTCTGGTTTACTTGCATTTTCTGATCACATTACAGCTATCGCTTTAAAAAGTTGCAAAAACTAACCTTAGTGTTCACAGGCAAGTAGAAAGGTATGATTGTTCCATGTTAAGCCAATTAAAAAATATTCTTTTACAGGCAAATGTATTTGCCCTGCCTTTCAATTAATTCATACAATCTTCACATTATACCTTTTTTAAAAAAACTTATGCTTATTACTTACATGAAAAATTAGTATTCTAGGTTAGAGGTCACTCCTCTTTTCCAGGTATATCCTTAAGGTAAAGCAACTACAACAGCTTTCCCCCTTGCTAGCACCCTCCTAATGAGGCACAACTGCCTCTCACTCAGTTCATCAGACAAAAGATGGAGCAACCACAACTTCTGAAGGTGAGCTATTCCACTGGCTGATTGCTCTTACCATTCGGGATTTTCTCTTTAGTTCTCTCCTTAGTTCGTTTCCATCCATTGTTTCTTCTCTTGCCTTTGGGTGCTTTGGAAAATAGTTTAACCCCTTCATCTTTGTATGAGCCCCTCAAATATTGGAAAATCCCTTCAGAATTTCCTCCACTTTTAATACAAAGTATAAGCTATAGAATTCAATTGAAAAACTGAATTTTTTTATGCAGAAACACAATAATAAAAAACTAAAATAATGTGGCTGCATAAGTATGCAGACCCTCTTATAACCAGGGATGTGGCTGTGTTCAGAATTATTCATGTTCAAAATGATGGTAAATAGTAGTCAGTACACACGTGCCATCAATTAAAGTTCAGCTATTTTAGTAGGATTTTTCTGACATGTACTCAGTTACCTTTTACAGCAAAAGCCACGGTCTGCAAAGAGCTTAGAAAGCATCAAAGGGATCTCATTGTTGGAAGATATCAGTCAGAAGTAGGGTACAAAAAATTTGTAGGGCATTGGATATACCATGGAACACAGTGAAGCCAGTTATCAAAAAATGGAGAAAATATGACACAACAATAACATCACCTAAAACCAGATAACAAGATAAAAAGTGGTCCAAGAGGCTGCTAAAAGGCCTATGGCAACATTAAAGGAGCTGCAGGAATTTTGAGCAAGTTGTGTACTACATTTGACAACTATCTCCCAATTAATCATTTGCCTTGGCTGTGGGGTAAATGGCACAAAAGAGACTTTTGTCACAAAGAAAAGCATCCAAGCCCAGCTACATTTTGCAAAAACCTATAGCAGGTCTGACAAAAGCATGTGGGAAACGACTGAATGTTGACATAAAATCAAAAGGTACTTCAACAAAGTATTAGTTTAAAGATGTGCACACTTATTCAGCTACATTATTCTGGTTTCTTATTATTTTTCCCTCAACATTTTCAGTTTGTTTTTCAATTGAATTTTATAGCTTATATATTAAAAATGGAAAAAATTCTGAAATGAACTACCTTCATCTGATTCTTTTTTTCATCTCAAAAACTTGGCATTTTAAAGGGTGGATATATTTTCTATATCCACTGTAACTGAGAAATCTGCACCATACTCACCGTCAAAGCCAACATCACTTCATGGAAATTCTTATTTCCAACAACCCTTTTCTTTATGGCTCGAAAAGCATCTTTGGGCCTAACAATAGCAAAGGTCAGATAATAGAAGTATTAACATTGAAAAACAAACAAAATATATGCTTGCAATTTGCCAGCAATAAGAGTCAGAATCAGGTTTGTTCTTCTTCAGTTAGACACTGAAATCACCAAAGCACAAAAAGCACAAAGAGCAACTCTCCTCTACATTAAACGATTCTGTCCCCCACATTTTTGTTCACATGAATTAAAAGAACCAAGACTCCTAAACTTAATGAAGATGAGGCACTAAAACGCGAAAGGAAATAATTTGAATTAAAGAATTAACAATAAACATTAACAGACCTAAAGAAAAATATATTAACGAGAGAATTAAGAATATTTTTATTTTCTAAGATTTCATGAAATGTCTGTAAGATTGAGTTTATCCTTGTGCAAAGTATTACGACTTAGTAATGGAATTTTTGGCATCGATAACAAAAAGAGTGTTTGAGGAGTATGCTCCTTTTTGAAAATCATCACAAGACTCAGTGTTGAGCTTTTATGTTTTATATCAATGCTCCCTGTTACATGTATCACTTTCCTGAGCTGGGTGTGTCTTCAAGGATCTCAGAAAATGCGCAGGCTAATGCAAAATCATCAGTGAACCTATCCAGAAAATGGCTATTGATTTCAGCACTTATTTCCTTACCCTTCTTCTGTCTCATTAATGATGTCACAGATTTCCATGTTAAGAGCCCAATCTTCATTCTGTAAGGAGCCATCAGTAGCTTTCTCTGTGGAAATAGAAAAAAATAGCAACCTCTACTATTCAATTTACTAGGCTTATATACAGCTTTAGCCATTGCTGACTCTGAGAGGTTTATAAATCAAATACACATAAACTTGTTTGAAAAAAACAACAACAGTATAACAAGATCATTACAACTGATAACATTCACAGTGCACCAGAGAATAAATATAATTCAATTAAATGAATACATGCCAAGAAAAAAATCCAATGCCAAACCACAACCTAAAGAGAATTTAATCCCCAACAATGAACCACAAGACTCCTGCACATGCCTTAAATGCTACAAAACTCTAAAGGATAATGAAAACTCCATCAAATGTTCTCTGTGTAACAAATACGCTCATCATGACTGCTTGGGATTACCCAAGCAATTGATTCAATACCTAAAATCATCCAATGAGTTTCCATTTCTCTGCAATTCATGCAGACCCATACTGGATCTGTTGGAAAGAGTCGATACCATTGAAACACGATTAACATCCCTTGACACCAAAGTAGCATCCCTGGACGCCTTAATAGAAAGATTATCCAACCTCAAAAAAAAAGACACAATGCAAAAACCTGAACACCCAATAGCTACAAACCACATCTCTACTCAACAACCACAACCCAATCCACAACCCAATCCACAAAAAAACATAACCCAGACAAATATTGATATCCCAATCCTCATCAGAGAGGCTGTTGAGCGTGAACGGAAACGTCCAAACGCCATCTTATTTGGTCTAGAGGGCATCAATGATAATGATGACATCACAACTGTCCGAAACATCATCAGTGATTATCAAGCATCAACCATCTCCCCTGATGAAATACTTGACATTTCCCGCATTGGCCGAGAGCTCAAAAACAGTGACGGCTCTGTGACCCCACGCTTCTGCAGGGTCATTTGCAAAAATGAATCAAGCAAACGCAAATTCATTTACACTATAAATTCACTCGCCAAAACCAACACCAACCATAAGAACCTCCGTTGTCGCCCTGACCTAACCATACAGCAACGTGCCCGCTCCCGTGTACTCCGCACTGAACTCAAAAAACGTCTCGACAATGGGGAGAAGGACCTGTACATTGACTACCATGCTGACTGTATCAAAAGTAAGTCACACATCCCACAACTCAGCTTTAACCTTCAACCACAACCCTACCTCAACCAATCCACCATCACCCAAGACTAGGCATGCACGCCCCTAACTACCTCAACTCCAACTACTGCTGGCCTTAAATGCAAGCTACTCAATGCAAGAAGCCTTGTAAATAAAATACCTGAATTTTTCCTCCTACTAAATATGGCTAAATTCGACATTATATTTGTCTGTGAAACATGGCTCAATGCATCTCTCCCCGACTCCATTACCACAGTAAGAGACTATCATGTTTACCGATCAGATCGTGAAAATCGTAGAGGAGGTGGTGTTGCTATCTTCTACAAAAAGTCCTTACATCTAAAAAATATCCAAGTTACCCAGGAGCTTACTCTTCCTGAGACCATTATCTGTGAACTATCCTTAAATATCACAATTCGATTCTTACTATGTTACAGAGCACCTGATTATGACATTGAACATGTAAACAAGCTAAATACACTACTAACATGGGCAGCATCCTGCCCATACCCTTTTATCTTTCTTGGTGATTTCAATCTGCCTCATATTGACTGGACCCTAAGTGAATGTACAACTGAAACCATACATGCAACCTTTTACAATGCTGTTACAAATCTGGGACTGGAACAGCTAGTATCCAACAACACTAGACTAAACAACTGCCTCGATCTCATCTTCTGCAATAGTTTGAATTTAATTTATGGAATACAAACTAAAGAACCCTTTTCCAGCAGTGACCACAATATGATTGACTTTTGTCTCAACATACGTCCACACAAAAAACACCACAATGATGTGATCCCCAATTATAATTTCAAAAAAGGCAACTATGATCTTATAAACAACGATCTCTCATCCCTTGATTGGCAATCTCTATTCAATGGATGCAATACTGTTGAAGACCATTACAACATATTTTTACTTGAAGTCAAAAGAGTCATCAAACTATATGTACCAACAACTACTCCCAAAACAAAACAAAAAAACAGATTGCCCATAACAATAAGGAAACTTCAATCCAAAAAGAGATCACTCTGGCGGAAAAACAAATCTGGTCACGTTGCCAATTTCAAAAGCCGATACAAAAATTTATGCCACCAAATAAAGACCGAATGCACCAATTATCATATTAAACAAGAGGAAAACCTTCTAAGCACCAATTCCACCAATGCTTTTTACAATTTTGTAAACAACAAACTAAAAGATTCAAGGTCCATCCCACCCCTGATAGGACCTAATGGTAAAGACTGCAACGATGACACCATTAAAGCCAACATCTTTAACACATTTTTTGGCTCAGTATTTGTAAACAGCAATGGATCATGCCCAGCATTTCCTAGCCGAACCACAGATAACTACAGTGATCTAATACATATCGATTTTACAGAAGACAATGTTGAAAAAGCACTACGCAATCTAAAACCATCCCTATCTATTGGACCGGATGGAATATGTGCCTATCTCTTAAAAAAGTTATCCACTGCCATAGCCGAACCTCTAAGCATAATCTTTGAAAAATCTTTCAGGACCAGTTCCTTGCCTAACCTATGGTCACAAGCCACAGTCATCCCCATCTTCAAAAAGGGAGACCCTTGCCTAGTTGAAAATTACAGACCAATCTCCTTATGCTGCGTCACCTGTAAAGTCATGGAATCAATTATTAACCAATCCATCATCCTCCACTTAGAGACAAACAACCTACTCTCCAATAAACAATTTGGTTTCAGAAAAAAGCTATCCTGTAATCTGCAACTCTTACACTGCAAAAACATATGGACTACACAACTTGATCAGGGCAAAACAATAGATGCAATATACATAGACTTCTGTAAAGCCTTTGATTCAGTGGTACATGACAAACTACTACTAAAAATAAAATCCTATGGTATCTCTGGACAACTGCATAACTGGATAGAAGCATTCCTGTCAAACAGACAACAAATGGTCAAAATTGGGAGTGTCCTATCAAATTCTGTACCTGTCAATAGTGGTGTCCCCCAAGGCAGTGTTCTAGGACCAACTCTCTTCATACTCTACATAAATGACCTCTGTGATCATATTAAGAGCAACTGCGTTCTTTTCGCTGATGATGTAAAGCTGTTCAATACCACAGACAATACTGCTACCCTTCAAGAAGATCTTGACTATGTATCAGAATGGTCAAACAAATGGCAACTTCAAATCTCAACAAAAAAATGCTCTGTCTTACATATTGGCAAAAAAAATCCGAAAATAAAATACAAGCTGAATAGTCAAGATCTTGTTGATGATCCAAGCTCTGTAAAGGACCTTGGAATACTCACCTCTAATGATCTAAGTGCTAGTGCCCACTGCAACTACATAGCCAAAAAGGCATTAAGAGTTGTTAACCTAATCTTACGTAGCTTTTTCTCTGGTAATATCACACTACTAACTAGAGCATACAAAACATTTGCTAGACCAATACTCGAATACAGCTCATCAGTCTGGAACCCACATTACGTATCTGATATTAGCACAATTGAGAAAGTCCAGAAATATTTCACAAGAAGAGTTCTCCACTCCTCTACTCGTTGTAGAATACCTTATGCCACCAGACTTGAAATTCTAGAACTAGAAAACCTTGAATTACGCTGTCTTCGGTCTGATTTAAGCATGGTATATAAAATCATACATTGCAATGTCCTACCTGTCAATGAATACTTCAGCTTCAACCATAACAACACAAGAACACACAACAGATACAAACTCAAGGTTAACCGCACCAAGCTTGACTGCAGGAAATACGACTTTAGCAACAGAGTGGTCAATGTCTGGAATACTCTACCCGACTCTGTAGTTTCTTCCCCAAACCCCAAAAACTTTAACCTTAGACTGTCTACTATTGACCTCACCCCTTTCCTAAGAGGTCTGTAGGGGGCGTGCATAAGCGCACCAACGTGCCTACCGTCCCTGTCCTATTGTTTCTTTTATTTTTCTTTTATTTTTCTTATATGTACTCATTTCATGTATTCATAATTATGTATACACTTTTACTTATCTCGTAAACAATTGACAAATAAATAAAATAAATAAATAAAATAAATTCTCAAAGCAGATCTAAGGTCTGCTAATAGAGCCAGATTTTGATTGGTTTCTTGAATCTTAGCAAGATTGAGGCCACTCAGAGTTTAGGAAAAATATTTCAGGTAAGAGGAGGAACAGCTGGGAAAGTATACTTTCTCAGTCCTTTCTGACGGGATTCCTGAAGTCTACTCTTTCTGATGGTATTGAATAGACAAATACAACCGGGAGGCAGTCCTCAAGACATTTATCTGTTAAATAAATATGAATCATACAGGGCTTTAAGGGTGACAATCATCATCTCAAATTAACACAAAAGTCAACTGATCACCAGTGCAGTTCTCAATGTACAGAAACATCCATAACTATTTGAACTGCTCCATTCTGGGCTAATGATAACTTTCTAATGGTCTTCAACAATAGCACAGTGTACATGGTGTTGCAATGGAATAAATTAACAAAAGAGTGAATGGCTATAAAATCTTTTGTTCTGGGAAAGTTTGCAGTTAGTGCATTAATTGGAGCTGCTCAACCCAGAGTGGAATGAGCCAAACACACTGTGGCCAATTCAACTTAATTATTTAAAATAATGAAAACATTTTAATTTTTGTCGTTCACATTTCATTTTGTCTCCCTTTTGCATCCTTTCTTTTAATGATTCTATTCCACCATTTCTCTGATATTAGTGTTCTTGTCCAGAGGTAGTTGGCTATGGTGAGTTGGCTTAGATCTCATATACAGCTTTACTTGCTCCTCAAATAGGAGCTGGGAATCATAAAGGACCCTTTCAGAGTAAACCAGTTCAGTATAATGAAGCATGATCTTGTACAAAATTAAAGATGGAATATCTCTTGAAAAAAAATATCTCTAGCTGTAGGGCCCATTCTCCTTAGGATATACAGCAGGGACCAAGCCAGTCAGTTAGGGTGCCTAGTAATCCTTTTGCTTACTCCCATGAAACAGTCACTATGTGTTTTGCTATCAGTCTTTAGTCATGCGGTAACTCTTTAAAAATGCTTTTTAACTATAACAAAAGAAAAAAACCCAAATAGATTAAGTGATACAACAAAAAATCTAATCAAAACAAATAAATGAACAGAAAAAGCTATGCGTATTTGAACAATTACATACAACAAAACATCAACTCTAATAATTAAACCTTGACCATACATTATTAAGGCGACTGTGTTCCTCCATCCCAGTCATTAGTCATGCGGCCTATTGCTGAAAACCCTTTGATATTTTGCTTTGTTTGCTTATCCAGCTTTTGGTTATAATAGTCTATTCAATAGTTGCCATCTCCAGAGATGTGCAGGCTAAGGAAAGTACTTGATTTCAGAGATGTTATAGAGGCAGTAAGGAGTTGGCAACATGTAGCTGCACTCTGCCACTACTTCTGTAGTACATCCTGAACTCAATATTTTCCTGAGCCTGCATGACTAGATTCACACTGTAGAAAAAGATATATTGCCCATACTGAATCTAAACCATCTTTTCTATTTTGGAATCAAATATTGCACAATTCGAATGAACTTGCTAGGGGTGATGAGTTTGACTGAAAAAAAAATCTTCATATATCAAACAATACTAACTGTAGGCATAATTTTTACATAGGAGTTTCCCGAGATCTGCAAGTCCTGCAGGATAAATAGGCTGAGGAAGACTGTACTTGATGGAGCTTTGAAAAAATTAGGAGTACAACTTACTTGTGCTCCTCTTGCTCACTGTCAGCAGTATAAAGTAGTCCAGACTAAGAAACAGATACCATGTGTATCTAAAGCTATTTTTTTTTTAAATTAAGACTGGTATCTTAAGATGGGTATCAAGACAGAATATAACAAATCTGAATGTGCTTCTCCATTTTTTTCTATTAAGGTAAATTAGGGGGACATCTGTCTGATAAGTTTTCTTAACACTTCCCCATCATCTGGGCTTCAGTAATATTTATCTCCTTATTGTCCTAGTAGTGGAGCTTTCCTCTGCTCATTAAAGTCATTTTCTTTTTTATTAACTGTATTTTTATTGAAGTTTAAAAGATCACCTTCTTTACTCATGCCCCACATATGTACTATTAGGCCTATAGCTGACCAAGTATGCCTGGTTGCAACACTTTCTGGCCCGGCCTGGCCTGTCTCTAATGGTCTCTTAATTGCTAAACTCCAATCTAGATTATAGCATAGTGTTGTCAATCTGCCCTTGAAACACAAGAAAATTGCACTTAGTGCGACAACTAATTCCACAGTTCTCAAGCATGGCTGTGCTGAACATTCTGTTGAATACCTCTTTAGATTGAGACCTCATAAAAAAGCCTCATCCTATCAAATAAACACATTTTTCCTCTCATATATCAATAAAATAGATTTTGAGTTATAACATTTCATATTTTTTTGCATTTGAAGTGGGGAAAACCAAGGAAAACTGAATGTTATTCCTTTTATGAAGCTTTTCTAAGACACAAGGCCCTCGATAGTGATGTGAATGATAGATGCTAAATTTAGCTCCGGAACTGTAACTAGAACCATCAACAACTAGAAGTCTAACTCAGGCCATACAGCTTCTATATGGAATGAACAAAGCAGTTTAAATCTCACCTAGTTGGAATTCTAGTTGGAAGACCACAAAAATAAATGTGCCAGCATAATGTGATATTCCAAACAAGTAATATGTGTGAGTATTGCCTCAGTTCTTATAGGCAGTAAACTCAGCAAGTTCTATGTTAGCCTGCTGTCAGGGTGTGGTGATTTGGCAATTTATGACACATTACTAAAGTGTTAAGAATTACCGGTTATGAAGGTTTTAGAGTCCAAGGACTCAGATATCATCAAAAACTATTATGTATTTTTATCCACTAAAGACAGAAGGGGATTTGTTAATGTTTTTAACATTTATTACCATCCAAGCACATTCCAAAATACAGAGTTTAAATTATATTTTAAACATACAATTATATTGGGTGAAAAGAGTTGAATAAAATGAAGCAACGCACAGAAATCAGTGAAACAGATTTATATCATATTTGGTTTCAGTTGATTTTAATGTCTTTAATATCTAGATTTTACCCAGCATTATGAATAGCATATACTGGTACGTGCATATGAATTTAGGCAAAGAACTTATTTAGCAAGTTTAACTTCAGATTTAAATCAAAAGTATATTTTAGTTAAGTCACATGGGATTTTTGTGAATGAAACGGATCATGCAGGGGTGGGTTCCAGCCGGTATAACTACCGGTTTGGTGATTTTACATTTTGCGCATATAGCAGGGGTGTTAAACTTGTGTCAAAGTTGTGATGACATGGCATCATGTGACATATCACAACTTTTTCCCCTTTTGCTAAACCGGGGGTAGGCATGGCCTGTAGGCTGCAAGTTTGACACCCCTTGAGTATAGGATCCATTGCTGAAACCTGTCCTAAGATCCTTAATTTAGAACATATTCATAAAAATAAGAAAAAAAGCTCATTATTAGACCATTAAGTGTTGTGTTAAACATTAACAAAGATTAAACCTAGCTACCCAGGCACAGCTAAGGACAATTTTGTGAATTCTCAAGCCAGCATGTAAGAGAACACGTAAGTCTGTAAACATTTGAGAACTACACTTCCCAAGAGCCCCAGCTTGTATGGTGAAAGATGAGCAAGGCTTCAAAGGTGCGATTCAGCAACAGCAGTAAGGCTGTTGTCATCAGTGACTTAAATGCTGCTTAGGACACTTTAGGACTGGACTTTAATTGGTTTAGAGCTCCGAACAGCCAACTATTTCTCATTTTGTCCCCCTATTGAGTGCCATCCCCATGGGACAGACTGAAAAATTCCGTGCACCGAGATGGAATTTGTAGTCTGCTTCTTGTGGACGGTCATCGGGAAGACCAGAGGAAGCAAGCATGTAGGCTTCCGCCCATTCAGAGTTTGCCAATTCCTGCTTTTGCGACATGAACCATTTCCTCAAACTTGAAAGCAACTGAAGGGCAGGCTTCGAAGATCTTTTTATAATTATCTCAACTGTTTGCAGGCAGCGACCAGCCTTCCAGGGGCGTGACGTTCGCACCAGAGGCTCGTCCCCTTTAAATAAGCAAACTTTATCCCTTCTTCGAGACCCCGCTCCATACTCTTACTGTGACAGGATTGGCTTACAAGGCCTTCCCCCAAGAACCTGCCTCCTCGGTCATAGCCCATTGATCAGTATGAACTGTCCGTCAGAAGAACTGTCCTATCCCCATCGGCCAGAAGAAAAAAAAATCAAAACCCCGCCTTTGTGGTTTATAAGCTCCGCCCCTCCCGCAGTTAAACACTGACTTGAGGTAAAATCCGGAGTTTAAAGCTACGGTCACGCGAGTGGTCGAAGTCGGGAGACACGTGGGGTGGGGTGGGGGGCATTGTAGAAGCGTAAGGCAAGAATCAGGCGGCCACTTACCAATGCGCTGTCCGACCGGAGAGCTAAAAGGATTGCCGAGAAGAAACTCCATCACCAACTAGACGACCGCCACGGCTTAGCAGAGATCAGGTGACAGGGCCACGAGTGGGTCACGTGACCGCTCTGAGTTGCAGGGGCCGTGCTTGGTTCTTTGCTCTTGCGACACACCCCGCAGCCTAAGCGCCTCCTTGACGAGCGGAGTTTAACGCGGAAATCTGATGGGCGAAGCGGGTTGGCGGGATGTGGGCACAGCCCGCTCCTAAACATCTTCGCCCGCAATAAGATTTTCTAATTCCGGGGCAGGCATTTCCTTTGCAAGCACACTTGGGAGTTGTAGTCTTTTCTCCAAGGCTCTTGCTGTAGGGAAGGGTTTGTTACCTGGTGACAGCGAGCGGCGACGATTGGATGATGCCATAATTATAGGTCGCAAATTGGGACCCAAGCAACTCCCAGTCCTCGCATATTGGTGGCTTCCGCCGAGGGCCTGCTCGGGAGAAAGCGGCTTCAACGGACTCGATTTCGCTCTGCCGCGATCAAGGCCGTATGAAGTTATAAACCTATCAATAAAAAGGCGCTTTGCTGCCACTAAGGCCGAGCTGAGGTATCCTCCATTCCCCAATGTCTTTCAGTTCTTTTTCAATAGCAACATTTAGATCAGGGGTCCTCAAACTTGGCAACTAAGACTTGTGGATTTCAACTCCCAGAATTCCTCAGCCAGCTATGCTGAGGAATTCTGGGAGTTGAAGTCCACAAGTCTTACAGTAGCCAAGTTTGAGGACCTCCGGTTTAAATAATTATAGATGCCAAAGTGACCGGACTGTTTTTCCCATTCAAATCCGTATGTTCAGGGAGTTATTTGTAGCTTTCTACATTAAACTAAATACTTCTATCAATTCAAGGCAGGAAAGAAACACTCTTGAGTTGACTCAGTAAAGCACTGAGAAAATGACTGGATTCTCATCCTGATTCAAATGAATTTAAGATTATAAATTTTAAAACTACATTTGCAACCCCCAGCCATAAATGCAAAGCTATTATTCATACTCTAAATCTACTGGAATACTGGAAAGTAACTTGTTTGAATTTTTATTAGAAAAGTTACAGGTACAGTATACATATGCAAAATGCAACCAACTGAAATTTTAAATCTAATTTTATAGTAATTTTAAATCTAACAGTACAGCAATATTGGATTACTGATTATTTGAAGGTATTTTGCATCATGAGCAAAGTACTTATATTTCAGTATTTTATTGCCTAGTTGTCATTTAATGTGGAAATAGAAATAACACCTCAAAAGCAAAACATCTTGCTAATAATTTTAATAGCAAAAAAATGCTTGATATACTAATGCATATGGGGACAAATGTCTCCATTTTAAAACAATCAAGCTTGTGTTAAAAACAATGTAAGAATATATCTACATGTTGATGTTTCAGGCTCCAGTTCTTATTATTTTAAGTAAATACAGTGCAGGTAGTCCTCAACTTATGACCACAATTGAGCCCAGCATTTGTTGTTAAAAGAGACATTTGTTAAGTGAGTTTTGCTCCATTTTACAATCTTTCTGGCCACAGTTGTTAAGTGAATCACTTCAGTTAAGTTACTAATATGGTTGTTAAGTGAATCAGGCTTCCCCATTAATTTTGCTTATGAAAAGGTTGCAAAAGATGATCTCGGGACACAGCAATGGTCATAAGTATGAAACAGTTGCCAAGCATCTGAATTTTGTTCACATGATCATAGGAGTGCTTCAAATGTCATGTGTGAAAAATGGTCATAAGTCATTTTTTCAGTGCCTTTGTAACTTTGAACAGTCACTAAATGAACTGATGTAAGTTGAGGATTACCTGTACTATGCTTTTCCACTTCAGGATCCAGACTGTTATAAATGCCAGCAAACCTCACATGAAAATTATGACAAACTCATTTACAACTGAAAAATTTATAACAACTGTTCCTGGTAGACATACTGACTGAATTTCAAACTGTAATAACGTTCAGGCAAAATAAAAAATGGCATAGAATACAGAGTCCTACAGGACATATATAGGTGATTATCATACAAGGATAGTGTCATACTGATGGCAGAGGGATAGAAAATTTTCTGATACTGAAAAACCTGTACATGAATTAATGGGAGGAAACAGAAATGAATCAAAATGAAATTTCTAGGTATAAAAACATTTATGTACAATAGCAAGAAGGTTAAATGCAGAAACTAACAAATATATAAAAAACGAAAGTATTTGGGTTCAAAACTTTTCACTATCAAATATGACAAGATATGTATTATACAAATATGTACAAATTTTAAATAAAGGTACATCAAGTACATTTGTGTGTTTAAAAACATCAACTCTACCACATTGCAAATGGTAAATGTGAAGTAGATCTTCTATTTAATCCAAGATACTGAAAATTTAAGCTACATATTATGACTGTCTATGAATTAAAGCCTTTGTGATTGACATTGGAAGAAGGCAATTATTTCTGACTCGCCTGTGCTCACCTTCTGTTTTTCTAGCTTTTGTGATATATCTGTAGGTGGGGTAACACAGGACAGGAGGACATAAGTAAAAATGGCCTTTCTTCATTTATAAGAGAGCTGTGTTAGTCTAGGCTGGCAAAAAAAATCAGTTGTCTGATAGAACCAACTAACGAATTGTATTAAATGGAATAAGTTTTTGTAAGATGTAGCTCATTTGGTCACACTGGTTATGCTTTTTAATTACATTTCTTAGTTGGAAAAGGTGCTACCAAACTCCTAATTTAAAGACTTTCCACTCAATACTAAAAACTTAACTTTCCAAAAGCAGAGATAATAGTGTAAATGCAATTAAATGATTCTGCTAAATGTCCAGCTCTAAAGATTGATATTTTTATAGCTCATATACTGCCTGTATATCTGCACAACTCTTGAGTCAGTGATTCATAGCAAGATTTTTAGAAGTAGTTTGCCATTGCCTGTTTCCTCGGGCTGAGAGAAAAATGACTGGCCTAAGGTCACCAGCTGGCTTCTGTGTTTTCCTGGTTTCTAGCCTGATACCTTAATCACTACCTCAATTGGTTTTTATATTTTTTGTATATTTTTGATGTTCAAATAACATCAAATCTGAGTAAGTTTTTAAAACCTCAAGTCTCTAGCCTTTAGTACGTAGTACTTTAATCATCAAGTTTAACTAGGGCAGGGCTGTCAAACTTGCGGCCCGGATGCGTCACATGCTGGCCACGTCCAGTTTGGCAAAAGGAAAAAGGTCATATATCACATGATGCCACTGTGACGCTGCTGAACTAGTTTGTCACCTCTGAACTAGGGGTAGGAATGGGGACAGATGCTTCATTATTTAGAGGAAGTTTAAGATGAAATGATAGAAAATCAGTCAATTTAATAGTCTATCAATTAGAAAAATAACTACTTTAAGAGCCGAGAAAAGTGATGTACATTTAATCTTGGATTCAAAATTATTTCATTTCTTGTTTTTAAGATTTTTAAATCCTATGTGATAAGGTTATATGACATAAGTTATATGGTTATAAGTGAATCTGACTTCCCCCATTGACTTTGCTTGTCAGAAGCCTGCTGGGCAGATCACAAATGTCGATCACATTACCCTGGGATGCTGCAATCCTCATAGACATATGCCAGTCACAAAGAATCCAATCATGATCATGAGAACTCTACAATGGTCTTAAGTGTGAGGACCATACATCACTTTTTCACCCTGTTGTAACTTTGAACATTTTATAAATGAATGGTTGTAAGTTGTGGACTATTGCTAGTGTCATATGAATACTTTTTTAAAAATTCAAAATCTCCTTTGAATCAGTGCTTATAACAAGACATTCAATTATGTATAGAGCATAAAGCCAATTCAGATAATCCTTGACTTACAATCATTTGTTTAATGACCATTTGACGTTACTACACTGAAAAAAGTGACTTATGACCATTTTTCACGCTTATAACTATTGCAGCAACCTCTGATCGTGTGGTCAAAATTTGGATGCTTGACAACTGACTCATTTATGACCGCTGCAGCGTCCCAAGATTATGTGATCACCTTTTGTGACCTGACAAGTAAAGTCAATGGGGAAGATAGATTCACTTAACAACAGCATTACTAACTTAACAGTTACAGTGATTCACTTAACTGTGGCAAGAAAGGCAAACATCACTTAACAACTGTCTCATTTAGCAACATAAATGTTGGGCTCAATTTTGGCCATAGATTTAGGACTACCTGTACATATTTTCTGAACAATAGTAATAGAAGGAACATTTTGTGTTCTAATTAGAACTATATACAAAAATACATATCCAAAAATGTAAACACCTATATTAAGAATGCCATACTTAATCCTATGGAAGTGCTTTTCCAGAGAAGAATTTTAGAGCACTAAAGCCTGTGCTGAGGCATTAGATTTCTCTTCCTCTTATTAATAAATTGTTCAATATCACCTCTCTAACTGCCTGTACATGAATATTAGCACCATAAGAGAAAGAAGTCAATTTGCTGGTAATAAGAATGCTAAATTGGAATTTGTGTAATTGGGGGAATGCTCTTGCCTTCTATGACAATAGTTTTAGCTACTGTTTCAGAAGTCACTATCTAAATGTGAAGAATTTGGAGCTTGGAATTGTAGGCTTCCTTTTCTCTCAAAATCTGAACATTGTGTAGAATATTACATTTCTATATTGTAATTACTAGTGCTACATTTGGTTTGAAAATGATTTGGAAGAATTGCTTCAAAACTTGAACAAACATGAATTAGCTACTTATTAAAACAAGTGTGTGTGTGGAGAAAAATATAGCTGCTTTAAGCAGTCACATTAAAATAGTAACCATTTTAACGATTTGATTTCATTCACTCTCACATTTGCATGTAGCCCTGACAATCAATGAATGCAACACTTAATAAGAATTCCTAATGTCAGAACAGTTCTTTAGGGATAGGACAATTTCTTCTCATCATTAATTTGAACACCATGTGTATTATTTTTCTCCATTCCATTGTCTCCACTTAAAGTAATACTATTTTATAGCAGTAGCAATAACATTTAGGCTTCTATACTGCCCCATAGTGCTTACACCACTCTCTAGACGGTTTACAGTGTTGAAGCATTATTTGCATATTGCTCCAACAGTCTAGGGCTGGGCCCTCATTTTACCGTTCTTGAGAGGATGGAAAGATGAGTCAACTTTGAGCCCTGTCAGGATCAAACTCAAGGCTCTGGGCAGAGTTTGCCTGCAACACTGCTCTTTAATCACTGCACCACCAGGGCTCTGTTTTATAGTTAAAATATTAGTGGTAATGGGTCCATGGTGCTTGTTTGCCCCAAACTTGCTTGACATTTCTAATTAAAATAATTCAATATTTTTTTTTCCTTTTATATTAAGGCTGATATATAAAAAAATTACTAAACTCTAGTTACGTAGAAACACACAGACTTAAAACATCCTCCAATTCTTGTAAATTTAAGTTCCGGACTTTTTTCATAAAATCAAGTTAAACAATTATTGACAAAAGACTTTAAAATTCTGTAGGTTGAGACTTGAAGAATGCAATATATATGTGTACAAACCAGTAGCACAGCAGATTATTTTCCATATTCACTTTTTTTGTCAAAGACCGGGCATTATGTAGGCAATATTATCTAATGTGTTAGACTGAAAAGACAGAAACATTAAATTAATTCAATATGTATATTACAATGTGAAACACTTTTTGCTTGAATAGAATATTTAAGGAAAGCCTCACCAAAGGCAACTTGTGGCTTCCCAGCCCCACTTCTGCATTGCCCAAATTGACAACAAATCTTCAATTTTTGGTTCAGTATAATTTTTCCTATTTACTTTGTTTTAAAACAACAATGGCTGAAATAGAAGTGACAATTTCCCATTTCATATAATACTCACCGGCCTATCTCTCCCACTGTCTCTGCCCTTTTGACTGCCTGCCAACCTTCTGTCACCTGCTATTCCCATGACCCAGCCCTGTCCATTGCCCCTGCATCTGCAGCACTGAATGCAATTACTCTACTGAATGGGATCTCTGTTTACGCCCTGCACAACTAAATTTTAAGGCATAATAAGACAGCTTGGTAATTAAGTGTAACTTACCAAAACATGTTTGGGGCAGCCATTTAGCTCAGGTAACTGGGATGTGAGACAAGTCAAAGGGCCCAGAGCACAAATAATTGAATCCAGGAGTACTGATAAACTTCCTGATACGGCTACCATTCCCTGGGAGGTCAAAAAGGAATGTGAAAAGTTATGAATGTAATATCAGTATCAATGTATCCTTCCTATTTTAAGTCCACCATGATTTTATCAAACCCAGCAGCTCTATTCTGCTCTGTGAAAGAGCTTTTACAGAGAAATCACACAAAGAGAAATGAACATGAATTCTGCTGAAAGCAAGAAAGGCTACATTCTGTACCACACATGTATAAGATAGCATACACAAAATGTAACACTTAATAAAATACACAAGCAAAGTAGATTTTCAATCCAAATATTCACTGGGTGTGCAGTTAGCAAATTAAGTGCACTGTATTTTAGCAGGCTAAAAAAAATAAATCTAATATGGAGAGCTTTCGTACTTCCTTCCCCTTTAGGCAGCTTCTTAGTAGTCTGTTCTACAGGGTAGTTCGTAATGCCATAAATAGGTTAGAAGATTATGGTAGGTCAGAAGTTCCATTTTCCTCTAGCATTTTGTTTCTTAGACAACCAGGTGCTTCTGAGATGCTCTCAGCAGGAAGTGGAGAAATAGCCTACTTCCAATATTTCCCCTACCAATTCGATATTTGGAGATTGGAAATTACTTTCCATCTCCAAGGTTAACAGCTTTTGATACAATCTGTTCTTCATTGATTTTTGTTTGTATCCATTGGTATCCAGTGTCATATCATGTGAATATGAGCCAGAGTTTAATTAGCTGATGTATTGCAAATATTTTCTTTGGTCTATTCTAATTCACCTTCCGATTGCCTCTACCAGATAAGTTCAGATCTTTGGATGAGGTAATTTTTCATGCTAAATAATAATAATTATTCCTTCTTTGTTTTCTTCTTTTTAAAGTAATTTCAGTTTTTAAACAATCAATGGCAACTCTGAACAATGTACTATAGGTTAGAAACTTCATGATTTATAAGAAGCAGAAGTAGCATTATATCAACCCTATTACAATAATACCGAATTTTGGGCTTCCGGTTTTGAGCCTCCCCGAAGACGGACTGCTGACTGCGATCGCGCGTGGCTTTGGTTCGTGCTTCAGAGTCAGAGAGCCCCGATCTTTTAGATTTGGGGCAGAAGCTGCTTCATATGGGCAGCAGAGGAAGGGGAGACCATCAGCCGGGTAGAGGGGAGCCGCAAATCCCCTCCCTGGTTTGGCAAAGCTCCTTCCCAAAGACGCCTGAAGTGGTGGTCTAAAATGGCCACCCTGAAGGGGAGGATTAGACTGGAAAAAGTATTGGGCAGGAGAGAGTGGAAGAAGCGAACAGCAGGAGGAACAGGATGATATAATTAAATGGAAATTAACCTCTGGATTAACATTACGAAGTATCTTTAAGAAAGGACTCAAGCGGCGAATTGAAAGAAGTTTAAAAAAAGGTGTGAATTGCTTTTGACAGTGATGGGGCTTCAAGCCAAGAGAGGTAGAAGCTGCAGAAGGAATTACACAACTAACTTGGATGAGTGTATCTTGATTTTATATAAGCACTAATTCAAGCTGAACTATAGATCGCTAAAGAGGAAACTTATCTTTTTGGAAGATTGTGGTTTGAAAAGCTCTGAATAATTGGGAAGGAAAAGAAAAGAGGAGGTGTGGATTTGTTAGAACAAAGAGTGCCACCTGAGTTAAATTCAACTTGACTTTTTTTTTTTTTTTAAAAAAGATTCTGTTTCTTAAAAATATAAGGAAAATTGATACAATAAAATAAAGAGTTTTGGAAAATTGAAATACTGAAGTAAAGAAAGACATAGGAAGGTACTGCCCTTGGATTAATTGTTGATTCTGTTATGGACTTGGTATTGGACCAGCTGAGGACTAAAAGTTGACAGGAAAGAAACAAAAGCGGACTGTTGGAAATCAACTTCAAAGTCATTAACTGGATTAAATAGAAAATCGTAAAATGGCGATATCCTTTCAGGCACTAAAAATGAAACTTGGAAACATTAAGGAAACTTTACAAAAAAGAGGTGAAACTTTGGGCTTCGTTTTTAAATTTTTTGAAGAGGCGATTGCAGAGTATGAACAACTAAGAAGAAGTACAGAAGAAGAGGTGCAGCAAATTTCAGAAGAGGCCATCTTTAATCACTATCGAGAACAAAGGAATCCAGAAGTAAAGAGAAAAAGAATTGGGAATAAATATTGGAGGTTTGGGAAATTGAATAAAGAGGGAAATATCCGGAAAAGAATAAAAGGGGAAAAGAATTAGTAGAAATTCGAAGGGTGGAAGGTAGCTAAAAATAGAGAGGGGATCAAAAACTGGAGTGAAATAACGAAGGGGGAAATGTTAGGGGAAAGAAGGGAAAAGAAACAGGATTTGGGAACAAAGGAATATGGGAACTTTAAAAAATGGGGCTAAATTTCTTACACAGAGATAATGGTTGAATGATACTGGAAGAGGGGATTCTGCAAGGTGCTGGGGAATAATATAGATAAATTTGCAGTTGTGAAATGGGGACATATAAGATGGATAATAGAATTGTTATTTTTTGGCATTGCTCTCTTCCTTTATGTTTAAGAGGTAAATACAATAAATATATGGAATATGTTTATCAAATATATTGAAATATTTTGAGGATTGGAATGCTGATTTTCATTTTTATTTCTTTGGGTTTAAATATGAATGGAATAATTAATATGTGTAATAAATAGATTGAAATAAATGAAATGATATAGGAGGAGAGCTGAAATGAAATGGCATTAGGGTTTAGGATTAAATGAGTAAATATGTCCTTTTTCTTCTCTGAAATTGTAGATAAATTTTATGGAATTAAGAAGGGGAAACCATGCAGAATCTGATTTATATGTTATGTAATTTTAGAGGGGATTAGTAATTTTAAAGTTGTAGGTAATAAAATGCTAAATATTCAATGTGATTTAAAAGGGGTAATAATTAATGAATATGTAACTTTGAGGTGGCGCACTTAAATTGATATTAAAGGGGGAAAAACAATTTAAAGAAGTGTTACTAATTAGAACTTAAGAGGATTATACAAATGTGACAATTAAAAGTATTACAGTTCAATAACTATGAAGTTAATATATGTGAATTAAATTATGAAAAAAGCACTTTGAATAATATAATAAAATAGAAAATGCATAAAAATATTATTAAGACTAGAAATTAAATACAAAAATTGAATATGCAATTATGGTCATATTTGCATGTATATGTGGAACCTGTAATCATGCTGTTCACTAAAAAGAGATGTCAAAATGTAGAAAACTGAATAAAATACAGAATTGTTATTTCTTGGCACTGCTCTCTTCCTTTATGTTTAAGAGGTAAATACAATAAATATATGGAATATGTTTATCAATATATAATCTACTGAATTTTGCAGATTACAGTACAATCTTCTACAATATAGCATACTCCAGATTTTTTCAGGATTGCGATTGCCATTAACCGTAACTATTTACTACAGGATTTGGAGCTGGAATTTTCAACTCCAATTTTTGTAGGTGAGTTAGATTTATTTCAATGGTTTGTTTTTTAAAATGAAAACTCATTACCAAAAGTAGACATCTGCAAAATAATCTTAGGATGCTGAAAACTAGAACTGAAGGCCCCATGTGATCTGACTGAAGAACAATATTGTCAACCCTACTAGGTAGACTAGACCAAGAAATCAACTACACAGGAAGGGTAATACTACTTTTATTAAGATTGGCTATAATAATAACATCATGCAAGTCCGATTGTGCTTCTTCCTCGTTATAAGCCTGAATTAGGGAGATGCCTATCTGAACTGCTTCAAAATATCTGTTTGTTGTAGACTTAAAATGTGTTTCCACTCACTATTGCCTAATAAAAGATCTTGTATTCTTTATTTGCTACAAATATTAAACTGGAATGAAACTGCATGATAGCTATTGTACTTACTTCAGTCTCCTGCAGTCTGTGGCCAATAAGACTCAGAGACTCTCCCAGTAATTGCAGATGTGCAGCTACATCAATGGGATCTGTCTCAGGAAACTTCACTGGTGAAGAGGATAACACCATCGTGCTAGTTGGGGATTTTTTATGGGGTGAAGGCACGCTTGTTAGAGAAGCTGAAAAAGACAATAAAATAGTTTTAAAATTGTACACCTTATACAATATACAAAAAATTTAAAACAGGAAAATATCTCATAAACATGAACATGTCTAATTCATGCCTTTTGGAAAAAGAAGAGCTGGAAAAGCTGCCCAGAGATCCATAGAGGTTAAACATAGATAGATAAACATAGAGGTTTAATAATTATTATCAAATTCCCTCACAAATCAAATAACTCATGCTTCGTTGACTCTGTCCAAAGCTTTCCCTAAACTGTTAATCTTCTGTTATGTTGTATTTGAATTTTCACAATTTCCAGGTAGTTGTGGGGCATCAAGACTAACATACATGGACAGCATCAGATTGGGAAAGACGGCTCTCCAATCACTGCTCCACCAAAGTTCCTTCTTTTCATATTTGTGCCTATTTCACATTGTGAATATTTTGTATTAATTGTTCAATTCAGGGAGTTAAAGGTTTCGACTGAATAAGAATCTTTTGTCCTTAGTTCAAACTCTACTTAGGTGATAAAAGCAAGAATAATACAGAGTTCAAGAAAATATCATTAAGTCTGGATTAAAATAAAATCGACAACAGCAAAAGTAAATTCTCAACTTTGGTCACGATGAATTAATTTAAGTGGAGTCTCTTTGAATATACTGTTTGGACTGTGCTCTTCTCACTCAACTCCTCAACCAATGCTTTCCTAGATCTCTCATACTTTTCCAGCTATTGCTTTATTTCAAAAAGGCAGCTGGTAATTATCTAAAAGTCAAATCAGTTTAATACACAATTATCAAAAAATGAAACAAATTTACATTTTTGGTGCCTATGATGTTTTGGTATTTAATTCATTGTTCTAATCTATGTAGACTTATTCTATCTAGATAGTCTGACTAATAGCAATCCTGGCCTAAAGCAGCTTTTCTGATACTTCTCAGAATTTCATATTTGAATTCTGAGCTCTGGGAGAAAACCAAAGCCAGTATCTGCCAATTTCTCACCAGATCATCTTATCATCTGTTAATGATAAAATTCATGTGTGGAATTTTGGAACAGTTTGATAAAATAGGAAAATATCCCAATATATTTAGTTATAATGATAAGAATTATCTTGAGACGAAAACATATGCATGTAATGGAATGTGGAAACTACCTTTCAATTTTGGGGAACCTTCTGATGACATTGCTTTCCTCTTCACTGTTGTCGCTTCTGCTTTATTCTGCTTATGTTGCAAATATTGAGCCTTCTGCTTCCAAACCTAGAGAAATAGGGAAAACAAAACCGAAATGAAAACTGCATTGTTTAGAATACAACACTTAGATCCCAAGCATTTCATAATTATTAAATGTGATGGGGACTGCTTTACATAAACTACCCTGGGGAGTAAATTAATGCAAGCACCATGGTGGCATCATCCCGGGCGTAAGCCCAACTCAGATTTCTTTTTTAAATTTCTTCTCAAATATTTACCAGCTTATCTTTCTCTGGAAGCTGTTTCCAAACCTCTGCTAGCTTTTTGCTCAGCTCACCAAAATCTAGCAAGAAATCAGAGAAGGTGAACAGTTCAGAATAAGAGCAGTTAGTTTCTAATTTTAATAGGGAATCTGATTCAGATTAACATTTAGTTAATCACCAAATCCATTATAAGACATATTGACAACACATGTAACAATGTCAGATTTTATATTAAATGTAGAAAGCAACAGCATCCCAAAATGAATGATTTTATATATTTCGGCTATAGAAATTACTACCATAAGACTGCAAGCACTTCTAAAAAAAAATTGTATGAAAGGAACTGGTGCATCTAAAAGAACAAAATAATAGATATTTAGTTATCCTGATTTTATTAGGGGATCAGTAAAACAAATTCTTACTGATAAGTGTGAATGTACTATTAATTTATTTAGATATTTAACAAAAATTAGTATGCTTGTCTTTTGTACTGCAAATGTAATTACTAACATATTTGATTATAGCTACAATGGCAACCATGTTTTAAATTTATGATATAAAAGTCATCAGCATTTAACTGAGCCGAGAGGAAATCAATTTATACTTTAACCAAACTATTTAGTTTTACTAAGTATTAAAAGAGCATCTGCTGAAGTAATTATTTTACAATGATAAATAGTAATCCTACAGTACATGTACTTACCTGAACTAAGAGGTAGTGAGTACTGAATTGTCTTGTATAAAAACTTAATATTTACTTTTATTTTTTTCCTTATGCAAAAAGTTCCCTACATTGTAAAAATATTAAAGATGGTTTCAACATTTGCACCTAGCTACACTGTCTGACAACTTGCTTAATTCAAAAACTGTGTAGCAAGACAAAGGGAACCCGAATTACGATTGGCCATGTTGTCTTGAGAATTTAAAAGCAGTTTGCCCTGTTTTATGCCAAAATATAAATTATTGTAGTATGTTTTATGTGGGCCTGCCCTTACAACAAACTGCAACTGTTTTAAACCACAAGTACTAGAATAGAACTGGGAAATATCTTTAAAATTGATTCTTTATAATTCTAATTTAAAGATAGCCAGACAAGTTATTACAGTAAGTATCAAATATTCTTCTCTGGGTTCTAATGTTATTAATAGCGAGGAAAAGACTAATTGGAAATTTAGAGGTGACATCTCGAATCTGGAATCTTCCCATCAGGACGATTCATGTAATGATGAGTTTTGTATTTTTCGGCAACCAGCTAAAATGTCTTTTTATGTTTGAATATGAAATGCAGATGGTATCACTAAAAATGTACTTTCTCATTGTGAGCCTTATGAGAAAGTATCTCTTCCTGAAAGTGCATATTTTAAAAATGTGCCTCTATAAGCATGGGCATAATCTCCTCACTTACTGCTCAAATGAGTATTTTAACCTTTATGCAAATAAATTAAAGAAAATATAAGAGAGGTTGAATTTTAAGCAAACAACAAAAACTCAACCCTTACAGGGCTGTTATTTTACCTATTCCTGGATGCTCAGCCACAATGTTCACACGATATTCCTTACAGAATACTTGGTAGGCAGACATATTTTTCTTCTTTGGCTAATTAGAAAAAAGGGGGAGGGAGGTAATATTTTACAGTATGTACTAGTTTCAATTTGTTTCTAATGCTTACTGAAATACCTGAAAAACCATCTCATAGTTCACATCTTTATACATTAGTATCTGAGCTGAAGTTTTTGTTATGTAGTATATTTTTTAAAGCAAACCATAGTTTTATAGTTGGAGGGGAAAATGCAGTATTTCTTAATGCCTTAAGTTCATAATGATAATGAAAAAAGACAGAACCTAAAACATTTTCCAACACAAAAACTCTAGATTTAATAGATTATGGCTTCAAATCTGGAGTTACAAAAAACATTTTGAATTCGTTATTACAAGAATCAATCATAACTTATAGTACTCACTTGCTATGCAGTTTTACCTTTTCTTTTTCTATTTTCTCAATCTTCTCTTTTTCTTCTTTCTTCTTCTTCTTCTCATTCAGGCTATCTGTACAGAAAACAGGTGGTAGTGGTGAGGGAGAAGGAGGAGGGGCATGTAGAACAAACTGGATGCTAGCTGGAGAAACAGGCAGTTGTGGTGTTATTTCCACTGCTGCTGGTGATGAAGAGAGTCCAGAACTCTTCTTCAATTTAGAGTGTTTTTTCTCCTTGTGTTTCTCCTTGTCTTTCTTCTTTTTACTCTTCTTTGATTTCTTTTTCTTTTTTATCTCCCGATATGAATCATCAATGACTAGTTCACCAGCTTCCAACTCACCTCCAGATGATGATCCAGATTCCATTTGTGGTTCCAAGTTTGAAAGCTCAAAATCACTGCTTTGGCCTTCAGGGAAGAGGGATGTGTCTGAGCTGAATCCCTCAGCAGGAGAAAGGTGATGGGGATCTGTAGGTGGCTTGTGCTTCTTACGGGATTTCAAGAAGCTGTGTGTATCATGGCTTGAGGGCTGTGAGCTTTGTTCATCCCGAACAGATTTCTTAGAGGTCTTTTTTGTAGCTCCAGAATGTGGAAAGGGATCTTCTGTTATGGTACCCCCTTTCTCTTTTGGTGAGAGGATTAGCTTCATTTTTAAGCCATCAGGCTCACGTAAGGTCAGCATTTCAGTGTTAACATATGGTTGTTTTATTTTTTTGGACTTGTGGAAAGTACCATCATCCAAGGATGGATCGCTGCTTCCACTCAGCTTCTTCTTGTGATGTTCCTTCTTACCCTCCAAATAACTGGGAGCACTGAATGAAGAATGAGATGATTTTTCCAAAGTCCTTTTAGATGATTTGGAGCTGGTGGCTAAAGGAGTGTTGATGGCTTTAAGCAAATCCATGGCAATGTTAGCAGAGAATGGAAAAAATATTTTTTTTTCTATTCTTTCATGATGAGTCCAAAGGCAGGGAAAGTTCAAAAGGACAAAAGTCTAGAATACAGAGAAAAGAGGTAAAAATAAGTACATGCACAGGATGTCAAAATCAACTGTATCTTTATTTACAAACTAACATCAGATTATTCAGCTATCCAGATGGAAAACTTCAGTTGCTGTTCTTACCCAGGATTTGGCCCCAGATATTATTAATTTTATATTCACAATATTATATTCTCTTTTAGTGAATTCTATAAATAATGCAACAATTTATTGAACATCTTATACCTCACTTCCTGGATTTGCAAGAAAGGAAAATTGCAAAATATAATATATTATCAATATCCAAAATTATATTATGTAGGGAACAGAAAACAGTATTTAGAGTAAGAAATCAAAAGTCAGAGGAAAGGGTTGAAGAAGCAAAAACTAAAACATAAAATATCTAAAACAACTGAGAAGTTTTTGTCTAGGGCCAGAAATATATTAAACAGGTACCTGGCCGACTTTTTGCAACAGGGATTTCCACAACTAACTGAATACCCTCAAGATAGGTAATATTAGACCCCTGCACTGTTTTAAATAGACATTACAACCATTAAAAAAGGAGCAGGGCTTCAATTGTACAATCACACCTGCCATCTTTACTGTTTTGACACTTCTTCCTCATGGAACTCCTAAGAGAATGTTCATCTGCGCTTTTGCCTTTCTTAGATAAATATGTTTGGATCTTGATTAAGGTGTGTGTGTGTGTGTGTGTAAGCTCTTCAAATATCAAGAACCAGAAAGTTTTTAGAGATCAAAAGCAATACTTTGATGTAGACTCAAAAATATAATGGCACTTGGTGAACATGATGGAATACTCTTAATATACTCATGATGTCCAATACAAATTACACTAGTAGCAATATTTTGATCCACCTGATTACTTTTAAAGGCTGACATCATAAATTGTGATTAAATTAATGCAACATTAATCAGATAGACTAGAAACCAATTTAGGTATTTTTAGAAGCCATTTGAGAGAAGAGATAAGAGAGCAAGAAGGTTGAGAAGGTTGCTCAATGATTACTACTGGTTCCTAACATCTATTGATTGCTGAATTTTTGATTGCACTGTTGATTGTAGTTAATTACTGAGTGCTACACTGGAGCATGGTTTTACCACACCTGGAAATGTGAGAAGTTCCTGGACAAGACAGATGAAACTCCTCAGGAGAGGAACAGAAAAGTGAACAAAAGAGAAGGGAAAGACAAGCAGAAAAATGTGATGCCCCTAAAAGCAAGAGAATTTGGCAGCTGGTTTTGTTCTAGAAGACAATTCATGGTTACCCTAATAAAGCATGCTAACTCTGATTTCTTGGAATAAGGTGGAAGAGATTCAGGACCCAATAGGTCAAAGAAACCAAATAAGGAAGAAGTGGTGATTGGCGATTCTTTGCAGAACCAACGTAGCAGAGGTCTAACATGTGGAAGGTGATTCATGTATGGATCAATTATATTACCTGAAACACTTCATACAAGATATCAAATATTTCATAGGCGTTACTGAACTTAGTGACACATGATGGACACATAGCTCTAGTTGTATCTTATTAAATCATTTTATTGTAACAATAAAAAGAGAGGTTGTATTGCACTGTACATAAAGAAAATGTATATCTGTACAGAAATTCATAACAAAATATCATTATTATAGATTGCTTGATAGACAACATAGATAGGGATGAAATTGTTGTGGTCAGATATACAAGCTTACAAGAGCCACATGATAGCAACAATAAGTGCTTTTATCTATCCTGACCCAGGTTGGAAATTCAAACTCTACCCAGCATTAGAGATGTCACAACCTCCTTTCTTGTTAACGGCTTTCCTGTTAACAACTTTGTCAGAACATGGAAGAGGGAACAAGAAAGCCTGCTATCATACATATAAACTTTACCAATAGCAAGGAATTAGCTGAAGAAGGGGGAAATGACCAAAAAGTGAGAAAGTGACCAGAAAGAACACATGTTGATTAATTCAGCTGAACAGAAAGTCACATCCAGTAGCTTGAAATCCTGAAGAACAGTGCTTGGGATGCTTGGAAAATCCTGTAAATTTAGCTAGTGAAAGTACAGGTAGTTTTCAGGTTATGATCATCAGATCATGAGAAATAACATTCTCATAATCATGTGATCAAATTTGGTTGCTTGGCAACCAGCATATATTTATGATGGTTGTAATCTCTTGGAGTCACAGCGATGCCATGGAATATTTTATATTTTTGTGATGTTCATTTGCAAAGCTGGGTTTCTGGTGGTGGCTGTGATAAAAAGCAAATAACATACAAAAATCAATGTGGAGCAGCAAATGAGGATGATGGTGTCCAATCTGATACCAAACTTTAAGAAACTGTGCAGTGCCCAAGAATGGAACAAAATCTATTAGTAAGCATGGTTATTTAAGAATGAAGTAAACATATATTTTCTTTCAATTTATGTTAATTATTTTTGTCAATTGATTACTAAATAGTTAGGATATAATATGTTGTTTCAACCTAATGATTTAATAAACAGAACTTGGCTATTTCTTTTAGCTGTGTAAAAATTACTGAGGCACTAAGGATTGTGAACTGTGCAAGACTGGGAAGATTTGAGTTAAATATTAGTTATTATATACATTTTTCTTTGAATGGTATTATTTCTTGTTATTTTTAACGTCCACAAATTTCCTATATTTTTCCAAACAGTTTGACTTCAATTATCAGGAATACTGTTTCTCGTCTGTATCTTTCCCATTCTGTTATTGAAATGTTCTTTTATTGCCTAGATCATCTTTTGGCTGTCTATATTTTTAATTAATGCCAAATTACTACCATCACAATTTTATAATTATTTTGATAACTGAAGAGAGATATCATGCTAATTCTTTTAAATTTAATCTTCTATCAGGTTTTAGATGACGCGTGTAGAACAAAATGGCCCTATCCCTTATGCTGTCTTCAAGAAATATAATCATACATTTTAATATTTTCTAAAGTATGATTAGATATTTAGAGGTGTAAATGTTTTCCTTCATCATATCCTGAGTTTTATTGCCAACCAACCTCTATAACAATTTTTGTTAGAAGAGTACTTCCTCTTTTATCTGACTCTGTCCCCAGCAAGAAGTTGCTCTCCTGCAAAGAAAAGAGTTTTCATTTAAGTAATAAAATTAGATATCTGTTTGAGAAAAACAGAATCAGAGATCTTGATTCTGATATAGTTAATACTGGAAGCTGTATATACTTAGCGTACTTCATTTTATCACATGGTATCTTGTGATTACAAAATGGAAGTAGATTGGAACCATTCTGATTTGAAAAATTATCCCTCAAGAGAAAACTGGATACATTTTTTTAAAAAAAATGTGCTTTCCCATTAGAAAACCAAAAATCATGAAAAAATGAATTATTGTTTTAAAGAAAAACTGAACCTTTCCCAGAAATTATTCCCTATTCCTCCCCTCCCCATATGCTTACATTAAATCTTTTATATTTAAAGTAGCATATCTGAACAATAGAGGAAGGGAACAGAAATTATGACCTTCATAATGATCTGTTTATAATTCAAATCCCACTAACCAGCTTTGGAAACAGAATGCTTCACTGAATGGATGAATTCAGCAAAAGTATTTTTATTGTTATTGTCATTTTTTCAGGTATTTCACAGTATTTTACATAATAACAATAAGAACTTCTTGAGTTCTTAGACGTTTACTTAACTTCAACAATGGTCAAAGTTAAAAAGCTGAAATTAAATTCAAACATGTGAAAAGTGCTGCTGGGCTACAGGAAACCTGGATCAGGATTGGGGTTTACCTTATTCTGGATAGTAAAACACTACTTCAAAGAATAGGTCTGCAATAGCTGGGAGTGCTTTTCAGCCGTTTTTAACATTCATACTGGTGAAAGTTACATCTAATTGGGTCCAACATCATTTAATAATAAATACATACATTTATACAGGTCTGGGCTACATCCCAAACTGATCACAGCAATGTATTTTACATGATGCTTATGTATTCTAGAATTTTTGAATATTCTGGAAATTTCAATTAGTGAAAAAGGAAGCAGAGCATGCATGATACTGGATGTTTAACACATACTTGTGTTAAAAAGTTCAGCACTTATTGCCAATTATTCTGTAAAACAGGTTAACACTCTTGTTTTAACATCCAAAGTCTTAGAACTATCCTATCCAATAGAACTTTTGCTACAAAATGCAAAAGAAACTCTCTTGAAGTTGCCTTTACTTTTCAAGGTCTTTTTGCTGGATCACGGTAGTTTCTCTTGTTCTCAATCCATGGATAGTCCCTCAGGAGCTACACCTGGTCCCCATTCTTGCCACTTTTCAGAATGGATTTCCCATGGGCAGAAAAATGGAATATAAAATGAAATAGTAATATTAGTAGCAATGGTAATAACAATAAACATTCATAATTATTCTTTTAGATACTGAAGCTTGTATTTCAGTTAATGAAATAATGGCACTGAACAATAAACTCCTGTCAATTCACTCCTAATTCAACTGTTAGCACTTTAACAAAATCAGAGTAAAAAAATGTCTCATTCTCTCTCAGTTCTCTCACCTCTATTTTCTGTATTCCCCCTGACTTTAGCAGCTGTCTTTTTCTTTTCTGGAAGTAGATCCTTACAGGAATGTTTCTTTTATTTTGTGGTTCTGCTAGTTGCTAATCCCACATCATCTATTTAGTTATTACCCAAGAAAGTAATTCAATCTTATAATTTCATTATAAGATACCACATTATGGCTCCAAATAAATGGTGCAGAAAAGAAAGCATACAAGAGAGGAAGACACCCATTCACACTTAAACATCAGTGGCTCTAAGTTGTAAGTATGTTTTCTTTACTCAATTCCTTCCCTATGATAAGAATTGAAAAGGCTGCTCATATAATCAAGGACATAGATATTAGTATTCTGCCATGCAGAAGTTATGCATTCAATCTCTAAATTGAATTATTATTCTTTGGAGCTGATAGAATTAAGACAAAATTCTACCCTGTCAACATTCTACACTATTCTTTGTGACATTCTTGTTCCAGTCCTGATTCCCTCAAATTTGAGAATAAGGGGAAAGGATATGAAAAACACCCAATCCATGCAAGGCACTGGATTTTTTCCCCTAGACATGGGTAATCTAGTATACTTTTTGCAACATTGCTTAGATTATGAAACAATCCTAGCTTTTTTTTTATCTTGGAGTCATCATAAGCCATGGCTCTCCTGCAGGGATCTGGGAATGTGTTGCCATGTCCTTCCTGTTCCCAACTACAGGATAAGGTATAAGAAATAGAGAATAAGAATAACCCTCCTATAAAGTGGGAATCATAATGTAGAAAGGGACTAAATATTTGAAAGAATGAAAAGAAGAATGAAGAGATACTACTATCTACAACTTATTATCTTTATCTTTCAAAGAGATCAAAGCACAGAGAAAGGATATAATTTTAACAAGGAATTCATGTATCCAATGTCTTTATCATTAGGCAGAAAAGATGATAGCTACTATTCATTTCAAGTAGTTGGATGCTATGTTCCAAATTTTCTTGAAATGGCTTTCACAATATGGCCTTTCAAACAGAGAGCTGTATTTAATTCCGTGTATTTTAAGTAAAGGCTATATAGAATGAGAATATCAAATAGAATTGCCACCAAGATAGTTTTTGACTATGTCAAGACATAAATAGAATAATCCACTTGGAAACCGCTTTTGGGCTTTATTACAGAGAGGGGGCGGGGAATGAAACAGTGACTTTGGGTTTTGCTGATGAGGTAAGTTTGTTATTGTAGAAATGGTTAGTATATACTACTATGTAAAAATAAAAAGTTGAGACTATGTTATTCTACTGTGCTAAAAAGTCAGACGTCAATGCCTTTCTTCATTTCCCCCCTACATTTTCCTCTCTTGTCTTTTCTCTCCCTTACTTTCCCATTATTTTCATTTACCTTTGTATTGTATATTCTAATAAATAAAAAGAAAGAAGATAGGAAAAAGGAAAACTTTCCCTGGGCCTCTGCAGCATTTCTAGCTTCTTGTGACCCCGGTTGTTCAGAGGTTCATCATCTTGGCTCAAGAATAACAATTCAGGTGCGAAGGGCAGCTGCTGTTACCTTTGTTACTGAAGCCTTCCCTTCTGCCCTTTCAGAATGACATCTGCACGAGTTTCGCCCAGAGCACACTTCAAAGGGTTTTTAAATTGTTTTTGAGCATTACAATAAGGTAAGAAAATATTAGCTCCAGAATTGTTTTTAAAAATTTGTTGTTTCTATATAAACAAGTTTCAACCTCCACTTCTAAAGAACAACCAAACGAAGCCAAATTACAACTGATGCGCTCCCCGCGACAGAAAAACTTTCCCTCGTTTCCAAGTAACACGGTATACCTGGGAAACACAAAGCTCAACAGTCAGACAGCCTCTATTCCCGAAAGCGCTATATTATAACGCTTTGGAAGACAAATGCCGAAGGTTCAGGACCACCCTCCATCAAGCGGTAAGTCATAACAGCTCCCGCCACAAATCTCTCCTGCAGCCCGCTGTTCATTCGGCGCCACTGGCCTTCAGCCACAGGCTTGTTTAACGGAATGAAGGTGGCCCAACAGCCCCGCGCTCTCATCCGAGCCAACACGCGCGCCTCTTTTTCTCCCGGTTGTGCTTACAGTCAGAGAGATCAGGTCTCGCGCAGACAGCCAGGCACGGCTCGTAAGGAGCCGGCAGGAAGCGTCTTCTCCCTCCAACCGCGGCAAGAGGCTGGCGCCGAGAACAAGGAAGCCCGCGCCGGCCCGCAGAGGCGCCGCCGGGACCCCGCAGCCTCCGGGAGGCCGCTCTGACAGTGATCAGAGTCCCGCCCCTCGCGAGAAGGAGGGGAGGCGCGAGATCCCGCAAGGGGCGGCGTCCTAGACATCGCGCGAGATTTCAACGGGAGACGATGCGGACTTTCGAAGTGTGTCTCTTGTGTGTTTTGGTAACGGCTGAAATCAGGCGGGCCGAGTGGCAGCGGCGGTTGTCCGTAATGGGGCTGCTGGAATTCAGGCTAAGGGTGGGAAAGCAGGGTGTTTTTCCCTGCTGGGGATGGAAGTGGACACTGTTCGACTTCAAGCACGGATACCAAAGCCTTTCCACGTTCTTCCACGTTCTTCAAGTCCCCCCCCCCCCCCCCCCCGCGGTGTTCCTAGTCCTGCTGAACGACAGACATTTCAAACGATAGTCATATATGTTTCACAAATCAAATTTAGACTTAAAATAACTTCATTGTCGCTTTAAACGTACACTAATCGTCATGCGTTAAAATGAAAGTTCGTTGCATACACTGCATACCCGTGACAAATGAATAAATAAATGCATAAATAAATAATAAATAGTATGCACATACCCACATAGATGACACAGAGAAACGGCACAGTCTAATTTGGATGTATACATGTACACCAGTGAGAAAAACTATCCTGCGACTTTACCAGATGGATGGCATAGGGAACAAAGCTGTTACAAAATCTGGTGGTCCTGCTAGACATACTTGGAAACCTCCTCCCAGAGGGGAGCAACAGAAACAGACCGTAAAGTAGATGTGTGGGGTCTCTTAACAGGAAGCGAGCTTCTCGGCTGTCCTTACCACACACATGCTGTATGGACTTTCTGTCTGAAAATCATGCACTTTGTTAAAACACTCTTCAATTGTGCCTCTGTAAAAAGTGGCCAGGACGGGAGAAAGATGTTCTCATTTCTTCTTTAAGACAGTTTGTGTTTTCTTTAGAAAGATTTCCTATCTCTTAGCTTTAAAGGCATGATTTAAGGATTAGTTCGCTTAAGAGCTTCTCTTAGCCTGTTCTTCAGTAGACTGTAAATTGCCTCTTTTCAAAGCTGTTTGAAATTGGAAAAATGGCAGGGTGAAATAATTGCATTAAAAAAGGCACGAGTGCATCTAAGATCTGATTGAGAGTTCTTTAAATCAGTGGCCCCCAACCTTTTTTGTGCCACGGCCCGGTACCGGCATCATAAAATCATCCACGGCCCGGTACTGGCATCACAAAATCATCCGCGGCCTGGTACCAGCATCAGCACGCATGGCAAGGCGAGCCGAGCGACCGGCCAGCCAGCCGTCTCCCACTTCTCCCCGCCACCTTCAACTCCTCCTTTGTACCTGTGTTGATGGGCTTCGCGATGGCTTCAGGACGGTTGCTCGGCTTTCCTTACCATGCGTGCTGAAAGAATCCTCACGCCTTAGTTTTGTTCGAAGCTGCCCCCCCCTCGATGAAACTAAGGCACGAGGATTCTTTCAGCACCCAAACGCCGCTTTCTACCCGGAAAAGCTCACCGGAAGCACTTTTTCATCAAAACAAGATGGCGGCGCCCAGCAAACCGGCAGCCCGGTAGAAATTGTTCCACGGACCAGTACCGGTCTGGGGACCGGTGGTTGGGGACCCCTGCTTTAAATGATTCAGGAGGTGCTTGTTTTGTGGTGAGAGGAGGAATTACACTGTTAGGTGTAGAGATATGTGCGACATGCTTTATTTCAAATTTGAAATGTCTTCATTGCTTTTGATTCTAGAGTTGCCAGAGTAGGTAGAGTGGCAGTCCATGTTAGCTCAGCAAATTTGGCTATGGGAATTATTTCACAATAGTGTATTTATTTATTACAACAGTCTTTATTATGGTCATGGACCAATACCCCAAACAAAAGCATTAAAAACAACAATAATAGTAAAAAATAAAAATAAAAGGCATACAGAATAAATTGCAGTTAATATTGTGGTTGGTGGTGGATTATCAGTGGGCAGTTAAAGTTTGTAAGTTTGTATGTAATTTTACATAGCAAAATTTAGTCACATTCAAAGAAACCACCTTTATTCATCTGATAGTAGTTGTACATAAAAAAGATCAGTATTTTCCAGATATTTTATTAGGTAAGGTATTACAAATTGAGTCTGTGTCCTTATAGAAGATGCAGTATATTAATTAAAACAATATAGTAAAGTTACCCAGATTAAAGTACCAAAAATTGTGCTGTAACTGAAACTAAGAGAGCTAAGAGCCAGATGTGTTGGGGATGAGGTCTTACCTCATCAGCCACCACTGGTAGTGAGTGTCCTTGTGGTCACAGGCCACATGGCAAAGCCATGTTTTGATATTCTGGAACACCAAAACGGTGAGGTTTGTTCTCCGCTCTAGTGGTAGAATGTTCCACAGAGATGGGCCACACCCAAAAAGGCTCTTCTCTATCCTGCCTGTTCCAATTCCTAGCAGATGGGATCCATAGCAGGCCTCTGATGTGAGTAGGGCAGGCTTGTCCCATCGGGGAAAGAGATGGCTCTTCAGATAAAAATGATATTACAGTTGCTTGGAAATCAAAATAAAAAACACTTTAGGAATTTAATGCTTCTAGTGTTAGCAATTGAAATTTAAGTGATCCCATTAGCCAGTTTTACTATAGGTTAGGTGGCAGGTAGCACATAGTCTGATTTTCCAATCTATCTATTGAGTAAATTCTTAAATAATAGCATTTTTGGGGTCAGTTTGTGTTACTCCCAGGCACAAGGCCATCTGAAGAAGTGTGTTGTTCATTGCTGGTGTCATGCCCCCATCAGAGTCTGAATCTGAGGGGGAAAATGAGCTGGAACAAGAGCTGACAAATTGAGAGGGCGGCTCTGTTGGCCTTGGAGGAAACTCGTCCATCCAGGCAAGGCTTTTCTGAATT